ACCCCTCTGCCCTTCAGAACCGCCTCCCATGGGACTCCACCAACCAGTGTCCTGAGCAGCCTAAAGTCAGCCCTCCGAAAGTCCAATACAGTGGTTTTACTGGTTCCCTTCCTGGCCCCGCCAAGAATAGAGAACTCCACCATTTCGTGGTCACTCTGCCCAAGACTGTTCCCGACAGTCACATCCTCCACCAGTCCTTCTCTGTTTGTGAAGAGAAGGTCTAGCAGGGCACCACCCCTGGTAGGTTCACTAATCAGCTGCGTCAGGAAGCTATCTTCCACTTTCTCCAGAAACCTCCTAGACTGCTTCCTCTGGGCTGTGTTGTGCTTCCAGGATATGTCAGGGAAGTTGAAGTCCCCCACGAGTACAAGCGCTGACGATTTCGCAACTTCTGTCAGCTGCCTGTAGAACTCCTCATCCGTCTCCTCATCCTGGTTCGGCGGTCTATAGCAGACCCCGACCAGGACACTAGCCTTGTTGTCCCTGCCGATCCTAACCCAAAGGGACTCGATCTTGTCATTCCTAGCCTCGAGTTCTACAACATCGAAAGACTCTCTAATATAGAGAGCCACACCGCCACCCCTTCTGTGCTGCCTGTCCCTTCTGAAGAGCCTATAGCCAGGCATCGCAGCACTCCAGTCATGAGACTGGTCCCACCACGTTTCCGTGATGGCAACCAAGTCGTAGCCTGCCCGCTGCACGATGGCTTCCAGCTCCTCCTGTTTGTTACCCATGCTGCGTGCATTGGTGTAGATGCACTTCAGCTGGGCCTTTACCTTATCCTCCGGCCTTGCCACTTTTTGATGTCAAGTTTTGATGGCAAGTTTTGATGGCAAGTTTGATGCACTTCCTTTTATTCCTGGGTCCCTGAGCTACTGCTAAATTCATCAATGACCGAGCAGAGAAGAAAGAAACGGAATAAACCAGAAGAGGTGAAAAATGAGAGTTTCACTCTCGGCAAGGTAGGAAAGAAGATCCTTCCAGTGAAATGGAAATACCCACTTGTAATTATCCATTAGTGTTTTTATTTGCCAGAGGTTATTGCTGTAAGACTTTCTAGCTTGGAAAGGAGCGAGTCACTCCCACAGCCAAGCAAGAAGAAGGAAGAGACAGCTTAAAAGATCATCCGGGTTCATTTGACTTATCCTGCATATTGCAGTAAAGCACATTTAAAAACTGCCTTAAAGGCTCATCCTACCTGTCAGGAGGTCACAGCAGTGAACTTGTTAATTAAAAACACAAGAGAAAGTAAAATTTATGGGCTGAGCATCAATTCTCTCAAACAGCACACATCCCCAGATGGGACTGGGAAGTCCCAGGGTGGAATCCCACCCTACAGCCCAAGGGCTAACTCGGTGGCTGCAGTGTGTCTTCTCTGTAACCAGCACCGTGAAGTCATTGGGAGAAAGGCGTCTGCCATAGGTGGCAAATATTTGGCCAACTGGGTGGTACCTTGCAGGACCAAAGCATAGCAAGAGAAGCATTTATGAGACAGCATTTACCAGCACCCAGGAAGATTCAGATGTGGGAACTGGGAGTTACCACCTCACCCAGAGTAATGATACCACCAGCATTTTGGTTCTTTTCAAGGCAGTGTCTGTTCCATTATTTCCTTCTGGCACACTGAACTAATTTGGGAAAAGGAAAATCCAGCCTGGCACACCGCTCTTGAAAAGCAGGAGAGCCTTGTTTCAGCTCCTGAGCATGCAAAGTGGGTGCAGCTTCCAGACCTTCCTCTTGCCTCGGATGTTTTTCCTCTAGGGCACACACTGTACATACATGTATCTTTGGAGGTTGCAGTGCCTTTTACTGGAAAGCAGGTCCTAGTTCCTTGCTCTGGCACCGTGCAGTTGGATAATTTGTGTGTGCTCATGGAAGGGAAGGTGTTCAGTCACTGTAGCCATGAGGGTTTCCCACTTCCATGATGCTCTGAGAGTCCAGCCTGAGGTGGTGCCTGGCCTTTGCAGAACCAAAGCTTGTAAAATTCCCATCTACCTCTCCAGTCTTATTTTTCTTTTCTTTTATTTATTTTTTCCCTGGTACACATTCTCTTGCAGGTTCACTTTTGGCTACGTATATTCTGCAGGAAGCTTCCAACTGCTTAGTCACAGTATGACATCCACCCCATTGCCTGTTCTACTGCACTGTTGGGGTAGTCAGGCCCTGTGTTGGTATTCATCTTCCCCTAATTTCACACATCTAAGTGCTGGAATGGGACCAATTTCAATTAATTGTGGATATCTATAATGCAGATACCAACATTTAAGCTCATTGCTGTAGGTGTACCCCCCAGCAGTAGTGTTGGGGAGTGAACCAGAGACTCCTGGGCTTGAGGATATATCAGCTGATATATCTTAGGCTTCTCCTTGTCTATTGGTTACAAAGCCTGGAGACTAGCTTGGATGTAGACAATTCCACTTGCTCAACTCCCGGTATTGCCACATCTTCTCCAAGGAACCTGAACGGCAGAATGAATAATCTTTCCCTTCTTCCCTTCCTCTTCCATTCTTTTCACATTGCACAAAGTTCACATAACCCATGAAAACTGCCCATCTCACCACCAAGCTTTTTGCTCGCAGCTTCAGATCCTCCTTGGTTTTGTTCACCTGTTATCTTTGCAGCCACATCAGCAGACAGGACTTCTTCTTTAAGTAGCCAGGATGTCCAACCTACCCATGATACATGATCGATCTGTGCCAGGTCTGCAGCCTGTCCTTTGGCTGGAGTTTACTCACCTGGGTGTTGATGCCAATGATGTCTAGGGCAGAAGACAATGCTGTGAATAATTCCTCGGTGCCGTAGATTAAAATGAACTACAATGGGCTGACCAGCTACTTAATAAAAATAAAAAAAAAAATAACAAAAACAACCAACAATGCATTATTAAGGTACAATGGATAATCTTTCGATACAGAATATCTTAATTATAGCAAATAGAAGAGAAATACAGAATGAGTATTATTATTTTTCTTTTTGGCATGCTATTTGTATCTGGCATTCTTGGGTACCTCAGCTTGGCATAAAAGAGAGTTTCTTTTTCCTGAGCAGATTGGTTTAGGGGCCCTAATCTGAGGCCACTGTTATCCTTATTTAAATAGCCACATCTTTTAATATGCACAGGAGATGAACCAGAGCTTTAGGACAGTGACAGGTAGAAGTGGACTGCTGCAGTGACATATTGTTCAAGGGCTTTCTCTGAATGCTTACCCCAGAAATGCTCCAGCCTTCCTCTGTAATCACTAATGAGTGTGGATCTGTCATAAGTGCCATTAAGCAATTTCTTTGTTGTTTATGCCTGCTTATTCACTGAAGGACTCTTCTACTATTCTGCCTTTGTTCTGCGAAAAAAAATAATAATAAAAAAAAACCACATAAACAATTCCTTCAGCTTTTCATTAATAAGTGTTTTTTTTTTTTTTTTTTTTTTTTTTTTTTTAATCAGACTTCTATTTTGGTATTCCCCCAAGCAACTCTATTTGGTTCTTATTGTTAAATGTCAAAATAAGCATAGTATTCCAGCTGAGGTTTCAGCTCTATTCACTACGGCTTTGTAATTACTTTCTATGTCCTGCATACAATATTACCATCAAGATGCTCTAGAAGAAAGGTATGGCTGGCTGTGTTTCTTTTTTCTTTTTTTCCTTTTTTTTTTTTTTTTTTGGTTTAACTATGTATCAGGCTTGCAACACTGTTGAGATTCATTGTAATCTCCAGACCTTTTCCTAGCCTTGAACAGCTCAGCCAGCTGTTCTGCACTGCTAATTTGTATTTCTTTTCTATACTCGCTACACCTTTCTATATTTCCACTTTATTTTGGAGAGTTTCTTCAAGATTTGTGTTCAGATGCTGTCCCATCTTGCAACCCACTGGAAACCTTTCCCATAGGGGTCACACCACAGATTTTATGAACACTGAGCCAAGCCCAGCAGAGACCCCATGCTGCCCTCTCCTGATACCTACAGCTCCCGTGGACTGCTTGTTTGTCCTATTTGTAGGGGCAGCTGTGGGGATTTCACCAACAGCCTATTCCCTTGGTTCGGGGCATGATATTTCATACCATGGGCTCTGCCTGCATCCATCTATATCTAAGGGTCTGGTACTTGAGTCCTGTGAGGAGCGGCTGAGGGCACTGGGGTTGTTTCTTCTGGAGAAGAGGAGGCTCAGGGAGGACCTCATTGCTCTCTACCACCTGAAAGGAGGGTGTGGGGAGCTGGGGTCGGCCTCTTCTCACAGGTAACCAGTGATAGGACCAGAGGGAATGGCCTCAAGCTGTGCCAGGGGAGGCTCAGGTTGGCAATGAGGAGACATTTCTGCTCAGAAAGAGCAGTCAGGCACTGGGACGGGTTGCCCAGGGAGGTGGTGGAGTCACCGTCCCTGGGGGTGTTCAAGGAGAAGCTGGACGTGGTGCTTGGGGCCGTGGGTTAGTGGGTGACGTTGGTGGTTGGGGAATGGTTGGACCAGGTGATCTTGGAGGTCTTGTCCAACCTTAATGATCCTATGATTTTGTCTCTGTGGTGTGCTGTTGGCGATCTGAGCGGGGCAAACACCACGGCTGTGCAGTTCACTGCAGCACAGCCCCTCAGTTCTCACTTCCAGTGGGTTCAAGACGAAAAAGAGTAAGCAGGTTTCCAACACAAGCTTTCGTTCCCATGTGCTACGGACCCAAACTCTTCTCATAACCCGCCTTCTGGGGGCAACCTCCCCCCAGCCTGAGGAGATGCCCTCATCCAAACCCTCCTTCCCCGCGCCGTTCCGGCTATGTTTCCTCAGCCGGCCCAGCGAGGCCTTCACCTCCCTCTCTTTCCTTTTTCCCTTGCCTCGCTATCTGCCCGATCACCCTTCTCCCCATGGCTCAAAGTCCCCTTTTGCTCCTTCCCCCCCCTCAGCTCCCGGGCCGGGCCCGCCATGGCGGCGGGCGGGAAAGCAGCGAGATGGTGGGCAGGGGGCGGCGGAGCCCGGGGCTCACCGGGGGCGGCGGCTCCGGCACCGGCCGCCCCTAAAACCCACCCCATCGCCTTCCCCATCTCCGGGGGGGGTCCGGGCAGCCCGAAAAGGCCCCGTCCCGGCGGCCTCGCCCTCTCCCCCCTCCCGCATTCATAGGCGGAGCTCGGCGCGGCCCCTTTTGCCGGCGGGGAGCGCGGCGCTGCCATGGCCACGATGCCCGCCGCCGCTGCCGCCCGCCGCTCCGCCTCGCCTCACAACTGAGCCCGCCGCCGGCCAGGGGGCCGTGGGTGAGTGGAGAGAGCTGGAAGGGGACGGGGCCGGGGAGAGGGACGAGGAGAAAGAAGGACGGGGATGGGGACGGGGCCGCGCCACGCGCGGGGCATCCATTTTGCATGATGCAATCGGGGGCTGCGTCCCCTCCTCAGCCCCCTTCGCCCCCTCCTCAGCCCCCTTCAGCCCCCTCCTCAGTCCCCTTCAGCCCTTGTTCAGCTTTCGGGGTGTCCCATCCCCCCTCCGTGCCCCCCAACACGCCGGGACCCCCAGCCCAGGCTGCCCTGTGGTGGCAGGGGGACGGTGCCCGGCCGCCCTTGGTGGCACCTGGCACCCACCCAGGTGGGCATCGCCGCCACCCTGCCCGCCTTCAAGGGGTGAAACCCACCCGGCCCCGCTCAACCCATGTCTCTTCACCCCACAAAACGAGCGGGGTGGCAGAGGACATGCTTCTCCAGGAGGTGCAGGCCTCAGCGCTGAGCAGGAGCGAGCCTCAGACCACCATGGCCATCCCTCACCTGGGACCGCTGCGGCCCCAGCGTGCAGCGCTTTCCTTTCCTTAAAAATTATAAAACAGGCTGGGAATTCACTCAGAAGCCTGTTTTGTGCTCCTGGCGCTCAAATCGAGGCTGCAGCCCACGAGTTCCTGCTGTCTGCTGTCCTTCAGCCTGCCCCGGTCACTGCTGCTCCCACCTGCGCTTAGGGAAGGGGCTTGTGCCTGTTTTGTTTGTCAGCCGGTTGGGCTAACAGATGGGTTTCTTCGTCTTTTGCATATTCATGTCCGAACGTTTGTGGCAGACAGGGCAGGGAGGGGGGGAAAGAACAACTCAAGAGGGTTTTTGTATGCAACACAGGCTTGAAAGAAGGGGTAGGGCTCTTCAGGAGTCTTCGTTTTGGAGCAGGGTGTAATTACCGTCGGTGCTGAGGACAAGAAGACCACTGCAGCTCTGAGGAGTTGACAGGGTATGAGAGAAGGTGGGTTTATGAGTGAGCTGTCTGTTAGCTAAGCGGCTTTGCCTGCCACGTGTGGCACTCGCGGCCATGTACAAACATCAGCAGCAGCCCCGAGGAACAACCCCGTGGCGACGTCTGCCATCACACAAACCTCTCAGCGCCCCTGCTCCAAGCCCAGGGCGTGTGGGGAAGATGTGTTCGCACCTGTAGGTGCTGTGGGACAGCTCTGCCTTTAGGAATCCTTTACTCGGTGACACTTGGCTGCCTCTGCCATGGAGGGAGAGGCGTGGGTAGTCCCTGTGCTGAGTTCCCGAGGGCAAGACGCAGCATGTGAAAACAGTAGTAAAGCAAAAAGGGTTTGCAGAGCCTGCTCTGACAGCAGCGCGTTTGAACCTCGTGACAGGGAAGCTTGTTTCGCTTTGGATTTCAGCGCTGAGCGGGTGTTTGTTTTACGAAACGCCTGGCACACGGCGAGGCACGCACCCACACCCAGCTTCCCAGCTGCACTGGCTCTACCTCTGACTGGGAGAAACCCTCCTGGCTGGTGAGATACTCTGTGGGCTTGCCATGCCTTCAGCAGTCAGCCTAAACGTCTTTTAGGCAAGGTTTGTACCTGATGCAAAAAAAAAAAAGTAATTGTGGAATTGCCAAGGCTGCGTAACTGCAGATTGTATTCTGTATTGTACTGGAGGGGATGGCTCTTGTCCTGTGCCCCTCCACCAGTGTGTCTTAGTGAAACTGGCCCCAAAATACCCCTGTTCCCTGGGCTGTGTTGTTGATTTGTGCTGTTTCACCAGGGGGTGTTTTGAGGCTTGCTCCTTGCAGGCTTGTGCTGAGCAGCGCGAAGACGCCTTCAGGAGCCCCCCCGAGTTTTGGGGGGGCTGGAACGGAAACTGAGGCCAGCGAGGCTTCTAATTCAAGCAGTTCAGCTGTGAATGTGGGTCAAAATGTGTTATTGCACATTTGCAACATGCTCATGAGTCCACGTGAAGGAGAGAGAAGGGAGCTGGATCCGCTAGGCAGAAGGAGCGTAGAAGAGCATTGCTCTTCCTGCAACCTAACCAGTTTTCAGAGGAACCAGCTCGGAGCTGTGTTTCTCTTGAAATCTTTGCCACTCCTAGTTTTATTTTTATCTTTTTTTCTGTGCCAGTCCACTAACAAATGGCAGGTAATGTTGCACCTGGGCTCTGTGTCTCTGCTTTAGGTAATGGGATGTGTGAGGGCTGCTCTGTGCCAGTCTAGCTTTCACCTTTAATTCCCTTCTCCTGGCCCATATCAGCGATGTCGACGTAAAGGTCTGCACTGCAAACACCTAAACCTTGATCTCGGTCAACTTGTGAGGTTCTCGGATTCCCCCGTGGCTTTGGGGAGAGCCGTGGCTGTTTGCACTGGGGGTGAGTTTGTTCTGGTATTCGAGCACTCCCTTCTTGCTGCCTTTGCTCCCGTATCGCTGCCTGCTTAAACCCACAAAGGAAAAAAAATAAAAGGGCCGAGCTGAATCTCTTGGTCAAACAAGACGTGGGGTTCACTGACACCTCCCTGTGGTTCCTGGGCACTTGGGGAGTGTCAGCGATTAGGGACTGGGGCTCCCACCTCCCCGCTGCCAGCATGGCTTGTATAAACCCTGGGACCCTCGTCCCAGTGTTGCTGGCTTGCCCTGAGCCCACCGAGGTGGCTGCCCAGCAGTCCTGTGAGCCGTATCTTGCACAGAAGTGCCTTGTTTCGGAGTTTCCAGGATGAAATGCCACGAGGTTTTTGGCTCGGGGTGCGTTTCGGAGTTTCCAGTTTTCCCCTCGAGTGAAAAACAGATCAGAAGACGTCATTTTCACAGAGGTGAAAATGAAATGTACTCAGAAATTGGGGTAAATAAGATGAAAAAATACACTACCAGTTCCTTGGCTAAGCAGCATTCCTCCTTACATTTTCCTGATGATCTAACCCACTCCTCAGTGCGTGCCGTACCATGTCACAACTCCTCTGAGAAATCCAGGCGATTCCTAGGCTTACTAAAACGCCCCATTTATGACCATAAGGTTAGTATTTAGCTTCCTATTTCCTTACAGCTCCTTCTCCTGCCTTTTTCTGGGCTGAGGAACAACTTTTGGGTTCTCTTTCCCCAGAGTTGTCCTGAGCTGGACAGGTTTTGCACCTCACCTCTGCCTCCTCATTTTCCAGACCCGTGTCATTTGTCTGTATCTTTCTCTGCGGATCTTTCAGCCTGCTTAATTTATCAATTAGAGGAATGAGGATTTTAATTGGGGTGCTATTTTTGAGGGCTTGCAGTGAGTTACCATCCGGATTTACTGAGCAAAGTGTGTTTTTCTTGAATCCAGTGGCTGTTTGGTAGTCATCCCCTCCTAAAAAAGTTTATTATAGCCACTCCGACATCCTTAAAAAAAAAATAAAAATGGAACAATGAGCTTTTTCTTTAACTGGGTTTGTCCCTGGTGCGGATTCACGCAGCTTGCTTAATCCCAGCTCATTTATTTATTCCTGGAAGCTGCTCTGTCCAACGAGGAGGTGTTCTGGGCAGAAGCAGCGGTGCGTGCTGTGACCCCGTGTTATTCCTGGCTGCCGGGCGTTTGGCTGTGGTGAGAAGGACTAGGTTACACCCCCCCCCCCTTTGGGGATATTCCCCTCTGTGCCCACAGCTCTTGGGGCCAGCCATAGGAAGACCTGCACGGTGCTGCCTCGTGTGTCTGCACCCCACAGCCGGCATCGGGGTGGAGGGGCAGGTAAACCACAGGTGAGTGTGCTGGGGCTGCGGGGTGGCTGTGGGATGTGGTTCAGTGCCACTTCCTTTTGCTCTAAAAGAAGGGCCGTGTAAAACTGCCTTTTTTTAAAAACTTTATGGGTGAAACACGCTGAGATCGGGGCTTTTTGTTTCCCAAGGATCCGCTTCCCCGTCCTGCCTGTGCAGCGGGAAGTGATGTAGGTGTGGATTGCGGGGCAGTAGAAGGAGAGAACTTCTGCCAAAAAAAGAAGGAGGGAAAAAAGCACGAGCTATAAAGCACAACAAAAGCAAAACGCTGCTGATGCTGTAGTGGTTTCATTCAGGAATGCCTCCGTGGGAGGCTCTTTAGAATATGGATGTGGCAAGAGCTCGCCGTGAGCTGACACACGAGCTGTGTCCCTGCGCTGAAGAAAAGGGGGAGAGCCTTAAAATAAAAACCTGTTGTGTTCATAGAAGGAGGTAGCTTTGCCGAAGCCACTCTTTTCACCCACGTTGTTTCAGCTGGCAGAGTAAATAAGGTGATTTATCTCCAGCAAAAATACTACGGAGGGGATTAGTTTGTTGGCCTGGGTAACCAGAGTGCAGCCTTTCATCTCCAGGTTGCTGATTAAACTCCGCGCCGGGTTCCTCACCGCTTGCTGACCTGCGTGAGATAATTCCCAAGCAGAGGATGCTGCCGAGGGCTCTGCTGTTTGCTTTCCCCCTTCCAAAAGTTCACGGAGCAGGGTGACCGGCAGCGCGGGTTGAGAAAGGCTTTTGCTTGGTGTCCCTTTTAGCTTGGAACAGCAGCGGGAGCGATCGAAATGGGGATGGGGAATTCAGCTGGCACGGTTTGGAAGCGCAGCCATGCCACAGCATCGGGTATCTGCTGGTGCTGACCACAGGTGCAGCAGGAGGGACCTTTTGGGCTCTTTAATCCGCTGGAAAAGAGGAAGAAAGGAGACAAAAGGGTGCTGGCAGCCTTAGCGTGAGGAAGGGGAACACCCAGAGCTCGGCAGCTGAACGAGGGGTGAGGGTGGAGGTGCCACGCAGGGGAAGAGCGATCGGTATTTGGGCTCCCGCTGGGGTATGGAAAATGAGAACTCGTGCAAGATTGATCTGGAACAGCAAGGATTGGGCTGGGAGTTTGGCTGCTGGGGCCTTCTCGCTTCAGGGAAGCTCCAACACAAGCAGCAGAGTGAAAACACGAGAGCTCAGCAGCTTCAGAAGGCCCTTTATTTGTGAGGACTGCAATTGTTGGAGGAATCACCGCTCTTGCCAGGAGATCCTTGGTTCTGAAGGCAGCAAGTTCAGGTTGGCGTCTTGGGGCTGGCTCAATCTGGCCGGGAGGCATCCTGCCCCTCGTAACCCGGGGGGCTTGTGGAGAAACCAAAGAGTTTCTCCACAACTTGGGGGAGCTGGCACTGCGCGTGCTGGGAGAGCTGCACCCAAATGTTCAACGCAGCTCCTCGTGGAGACTGCCCTATTTCGGCCTCTCTGCACGCCTCCAACCCCAAAAATGCAATCAGGAGAGATTTCTTTTGGTATCAGACCTGGGAAACTCTAATCAGGTTTGTAACATGTGATAGCAGGCTGGATGCCACTAGTAATTTTTCTGGTCGGCTGCCAGGCTGCTGGAGGGGAATGAGAACTCGACGATGGCAAATCTGGCCAGCCTGCAGAGAAAAGCTTTCGCTTTGCCCTTTTTTCCTCCTGCAGCACGGCCGTCGAGGAGCAGGGGAGAGCTGAGCAGTGAGTTTTAGCCGAGTGAAGAGTGTTTACCGACAGCAAACAGACCTTCCACCTGCCCCTCTCCGATAATAAGATTTATTTAGGTGGAATAGATCAAGCCGGGCCTCCGATACCCGTGCGGCAGCAGGAGCACCTGATGACCGTGTGATTTCCCCTCGGTCAGAGCAGTAATCCCACCTCGTCTGCCTTTTTTTTTATTACTCAGGTGCTCCTGTCCCACTGAATGCTGGATTTTACTGGTCTAAGGGACTGGAGGAGCGCCGAGCTGGGCAGGATCAGGGCGGATACTGGAAGGAAAGCGAGCGACTGGTGCAACATGAAGCTTTAACAGCGAGCGGGCAAGTACGTGGGTGAAGCTGCCATGGCAACTGCTCGTGGTGTTGGCAGAAAGCACCAAACCGTGCCCTGCTGCTGTTCCTAACCACCAGGCTGCTCCAGGTGGCCGGGAATCCTGCGGGAAGGAGCTGCCTGGGCAAGGGAGGAAGGTGGGAAGATGATGATGCAACTGGAGTAGCGCGTTGCAAGCACAGGTAGCAGCTTTCACCAGGCTGGGGTGGTCTGATGGCAGATGAGAAGTGTGGCCAGGTGCCCGCCTCGTGCTTTACCTGGGAAAACTCCCGGATTAATTAATTAATTAGTCTAATTACTTTATTTCGATCGCCCAAGCCCTGAGGGGCGGTGTAGGCTCTGCAGCATTATTTGAGGTTTGCAGGCACGGTTACCCGAGGGTAGCAAAGTGCTGGCTGCCATCCTCACCTCTCAGGGACGTCCCAAAATTGGTGTGCCTGAAAATCCCTGCGTGCTGTGCCCTTCTCGTTGATTAAACGGCAGCGTTTGGGGAAGGCTCCCTCCATCCGTCCGCCCACCTCGCTACAGGATGGCATTCGTTCTTCTGCAGAAGCGTCAGGGCTCTGGATTTCTGATTTGATCGTTTCCCCACCGCTGTTTTAATAACAAACCAACTTCTGTCTCGGTCTAGCTTGCTTCCTTATCTCCTCACGGACACTTCCCACCGTCTCCCAAGGATCATTGTCTAAAGGCTGTGCCTGTGGCTCGCTGCGTGGCACAGCCGGACGTTTCGGCTGAGCAGAGCCCTGTCTCCCTTTTATCTGGATGTAAGAAGACAGAAACTTGCTTATTTAGTATTGTTTCCCAGAGCATAATTCCTTTTTTTTTTGTTTTCCTGCTTGCTGTCAAGGCTGAACCCCTGGCAGACTCCAGGCCGTTTGTCATTCGGACTCGATCCCTGGCAATCCGTCTCGGGCTCTGCTTGGGCACATCTAATTATCAGTGGAGATCCCCTCAGGTTTTGTGACAAATTGGGGGAGTTAAATCAAGCCCTTTTCTCACAAAACATAATTTGAAGTCCTTGCTGAGGAACTATTTGGGAAGACGGGTCGAGCTGGTGGGAGATAATTTCAATTTAAATCCTTTTCATCAGAAAATAGGGATTCCCGTAGCGGGAGAGGTGTGACACCCTTTGTCACACCCTCCCTCCTTTTATTTTGGTCAAAAATCATTCTTTGTATTAAAATATGTTCTGAAGCATAACCACAAATAACCCGGATCAAGTTTTAGGCAGGCATTGAAGCAGAACATTGAAGTCTGTCTGCTCTGAGGTTTGGGGGAAATCCCTGGCTCGCAAATCGTTTGCGGTTAGGAGGTTTTGTCTGGACTTGGGAAGAGGATGATTGCTGTCCTGGAAGCCCTTATGGGATGGGAAATGAACTTGTTTCTTGTTGTGGACAGCAGCTGTGCTGGTTCACAAGACAGGCTGGCGAGCAGCAGCACCCCGAGGCAGAAGTGGAGCAGCAGCACGCTCTGCCCTTCCAGTGGCACTGGCTGTTCCCCTCCAGGAGCTGATGGTGAGTCAATGGATGGTGTAGGGATCAGAGAGGGCACACCTCGCTGCTCCTTTTCCAGTGGAGCAAATCCTCCAGGGCTGTGAGATGCCTGCAGAGCAGTGGGAGAAATCTCTGAGCTACCGGTGACGTTCAGGAGCTGGAAGAACAGAAGCCACGAGGGGCAGAGGGCTGGTTCCCGGGCAGCACATTCCTCCTGCCACGCAAACGGACGTGTTGAAAAGAGGAAAGTAACACGGGCCCCTTTTTGAGGGCAGCGTGTCTCTGGGCAGGTAGTCAAGAGCATGTTTGTACACACTGCACACCCACTGCTGCGTGTGCGGCCGAGCTGTGTGTAGCGAGTGGTTTATATTTAACTGCGTGGCTTCGCTCTGAGCCGTAAATGCCTTGCTGCTGGGTGATCCCCCTTTTCATGACAGGATTTGGCAAGGAATATAACGCTCAGTGGCCAGCATCCACTACGTGCAGATGTAATCTGCATTTCTGCAGGGTGTATGGACATAAATACATACTTACACGCGTAAAAAATACAGAATTATGGGAATCAAGGGAGCAATTCGACAGCACACTGGACAAATCTTGCCTGGTTATCAGAAAAAAAAGAGGGTGGCATCCTTTTCTGCACGGTGAAACCAATGCAAAGGTTTGCAGTTCCTTTCACTGGCTTTTGGCTCGGGCTCCCAGCCATCGCTGCTGCTGTGCTGGGATGTCTTCCAGCTCCACGTAACGCTGCTGCGTGGTCCTGCCTTGGTTTTCATCAGCTGTGAAGCCTCTTCTCTTGTGGCAGACGTCTGTGTGGAGAGCTCAGCATCTCCTGTAGCTGTCTTCTCTCTGCCCTGTCACTTGTTGCAAGGTAACTTCACAAAGCACCTGTAGGTTTTCCAAGAGAGGTCCTTCCAAAGTGCGTTACCTGACACTCTTGATCCTTTAGTGCAGGGAAATAAGGTTTTGCCTTGCACCTGAGGTGGCTGCCTCACTTCTTGTTTGCTTTCCTCTGGGTGTTTCCGAACGAGGTTTCAGGAGGCAGTCGGTGGCTCTGGTGAGGTCCCCTAAAACAAAACCTCTTTGCCTCTAGGAGTCTGCAGTTCAATCTGACACCCGAAAATATCCGTATATGGATTTTCCATCTCTTCTTTTTCTGAGTGGGGCTTCTCTGTGGATGGTGCTACCTCGGGGATGGACGAACCAAAGCCAGACCTTCGGAAAGGGCACCCGAAGGGGTTTGTTACCATCAAAAAGTCACCACCACGTGCACATTCAGGAAGCTGACTGGTGTTTAATATAAAAACAGAGGGCCAAACCCATTCCGCATTGTTTTCCAGACATGCCAACGTGTCATAAGCACCCGCTGTTTGTTCTGCAGCTCGGTAGCAGTGATGCTGTAGCTGCATGAGGAGACATTCGCTGAAGACCAAAAGGATGCCGAGGAAAAACAAAACCGACCGTGGGATGCCACTTTGCAGTTAAGGAGGGGCATTGGCAGCAAAGGTTTCGATGAACATAAGCATATAAGGGATGAGGTTGAGCAGGGTTTTCTGCTCGTGCTTCCTCTGTAGAGGTGCCAGAGCACTTCATTAATTTCACGCTCTTCTGCGTGTCGGAGCTGGCTTGTGAGAAGCAAATTCTCGGGAGCAGCAGGGCCTTGAGGCAGATAAGGAGGGGTTTCCAGCAGCTGAAACAAACCGTGGTTGTTTCGGAAGTGGTAGCGCTGCTTATGTAAAAGGGCTGCCGTGTCAGCTTATTTTTACGCGTGGCGTTTCATGTTCGGCCGGCCAGATGTTTGTTCTGGTTTGCTGCTTGTAGCCAGATGCAAGGCTGCTTGTTTTCTTACCGGCTTGTTTTTGAAGAACTTCGTCCCTTTTGGAAATGTTGTCGACGGGGAAGGAAATCCACAAGCCTGATATAACAGGTTAATGAACAATTAGATCAGAAGAGAAAGAATATCTTATTCGACTTCACAACACAATGCGGCCGAGGCAGGAGAATTTGGACGCAGAACAAACACACAGTGAGCTGTAAATAAAGGACAAGGACCTGGAGGAACGGGGGGATTGGGCCCTATTGATGTCGGTGGGAGCTCTGCTGCTGGCTCCGGCAGGATCTCACTGGAGGATGTGAACCCTGCCCCGGGAGCCTCCCTGCTAGGTTATCGAGGTGGCTCAGCCTTCCCTCGGCTCCTGCCGAAGCCCCCGGGTGCCCAGGATTTGGGGTGAAGCCACTTGGGGTGGCACAAGCTGCCTCTCCACGCTTCCCAGCGGAACTGGAGCACGTATAAAGGGCAGGAGCTGAGGTGAGCTGCAGAAATCAGGCCAGCTCCTTGCGTCCTGGGGTGGTTTTAAGTGACAGGAGGATGGGAGGAAGGGTTGGCATTTCATAAAGCTCTCCGTGCTGCTTCGGCCCCGTAGCTTTAGCGTGGGCTTCAGGCAGGAGGAGGGGCGGCCCTACAAGAGCTTGTCCCAGGAGCTGTCCTAGCAGCAGGTGAGTGATGCCCAGAGCCCCTCCAAGGGGTTCTTCCTCGCCTTCCAGGAGCTCATGCCCAGGGTCCCAGAGGATTTCTCTGACACCTCGATGCCCTGAGCAGGGTGAGAATCAGGCATGTGAGGACACACAGAGCTCATTTCGGTTCATTCAGGTCAAATTTCCTCGACGGGGAGGTGGTTATGTGCCGTTTGGCAGCGTCTCTAGAGCAACTCGCATTGTTTGAGGCGATTAGGGCTGCGTTACACCACGGGAGCGCTGCCCACACGCCGAAATAAAGGCTCCTCCTTTCAAGTGCGGGTAGGAGTGGGAGCGAGAGCAGGCAGCCCAGCACACATTTCCGTACTTCAAAGGCAAGAAGCCTTCAAAAAGCGAGATCACAGGCGGGCCCGACTTCTAAGGAGGGGAAAATCAGCTCCGCCGCAGTCCCCCTTTGATGCAATCGCAAAGATAACAAATGAGAGCAGGGGGAAGGTTTGGGGCAGGGGCGTGCGGGCCCCTCCACAGCATCCAGGGAGGTGCTGCGCTGCGGGACGAGGAGCAAAATCACTGCTTGTCCTTACTGAAAGGCACTTTGCAGAGTCCCAGGGGGTGTAATTGGAAGCAAAACCTTGCTTTTGTCACCCGCTGCTTGAAAAGCAACAGGAACGGGCAGGAGAGGCTCAGGATGGCCACCAGCCTTAATTTCTAGGCCCATCCTAATGAAATGGTTCCTCCTCTAACCAGGTTATCTGTTGGAAGCCCTTCTGCTTTTGCTCTTGATAACCACAACGCAGCTGTAGAAATACCCGCAGGTGTGCCCCAGGAAGCTTCAGAATTAAATTATTTCAAAATATATTTTAAGTGGGATTCTTGGATTTATACACAAGCTGGAGATAATTCGCCAGCTATTTTTTTTAATGAATAAATGAAAAGCCCGCGCAGAAAATAAATGGTCCACGATCGTTCTTAGGCAGCAGGTTTGTGGAGCAGAGGCTTTGCACCAAAGCCTGAAAGCAAATCGGGATGGCAGGGGAGGTAGGTGTCAGGCTGAGGGAGAGGTATTGGGGAAAACGAGGAGTTTCTTCATTTTGAAATCGACGATGTGATGGCAGAACTGAAGCGTTGTTTGGTAGCGGCCTGAATGCACTCGACTGCCAGCAGGTGCTGATGCTGGGATGGAGGCAGGGTGGCAGGCTGTGGTCTGAGAGGCCCAGGGAGCTGCACGCAGCTGATGCAAATAAAAACCAGCTTGAGCCTTGCCTCGGTGCAACCGAATTAAATAAAGCTCGGCTCTGCGTGTCCTTTATCCCAAGTTGTATCTCTTCCAGCCCGGGGGCAGCTGCCAGCCCGTGCTACTGCCTGCTGGCAGGAGCTGGAGCTCCCAGAGGGAAATGTGGCTCTGTTTTACTGCTGCACGTGCTCACATTTCCCTCTAGGGCCAGCAGCACGTGTGGAGCCTTATTCGGGGATGCAACGCTCCCGAGTTTTGCTCTTAGTTCATCCCCCGAGACTTTAAAAGTATAAATAACTACGAATTTTTTTTTTTCTCGCAGGCCCGGACACGAGGATGGAGTGCCAGAAAATTCTGCATTTCGGGAACCAGCTCCTTCGCCGGAAAAACGTGGACTGCACTCGAGAGGACAGCCGGCTCTCGCGGTGCCTCAACACCTTCGATTTGGTGGCCCTGGGCGTTGGCAGCACCTTGGGGGCAGGCGTCTACGTCCTGGCCGGGGCCGTGGCAAGGGAAAACGCAGGGCCTGCCATCGTCATCTCCTTCCTCATCGCCGCCTTGGCTTCTGTGCTGGCCGGGCTCTGCTACGGAGAGTTCGGTGCCCGGGTTCCCAAGACGGGATCAGCTTATCTGTACAGCTACGTGACCGTGGGCGAGCTGTGGGCCTTCATCACGGGGTGGAATTTGATCCTCTCCTATGTCATCGGTGAGTACGGGGGGCGTGCGATGAGACCTTAGCTTGAAACCTTTTTGGTCCCTTTAGTGCTTTTTAAAACCCACTGAAGGTTTGAGGGCTCTTCAGCAGGGCGGCAGTGGCTGCTGTCATCCTACAAGGTGAGTGTTGCGCCCTGGGCTTTGTCCTGAAGCCAAATTATTGCAGCAGCTCCTTCCTCTGAACTCCCACATCACCCGCTTGGCATGCCCTGGCTGCTGAGACAGAATTTCTGTGCTCCTGCCTGATCAGGAATTAATTTCTGGTCCCTTTGAGACCCGTTCAAAGTAGCTAGAGATCAGAATTCTCTCTCACGAGTGGTGGCAGGATTTAACCTAGGGTGAGCTGCAGTTTCGCAGCCTGTGAGAGGTCCAAACCAAATCCCTCCTAAGCCCTTTGCTCCCGTTAAGGGAGGCCTCGCGGCACGCTCTGAGCACGCGGCGTGCAGCCCCGTGGATGCACTAAAACAGAGCACACTTTGCCAAGAAAGGATCCGTCATCGTGCCCATAATTAAGGCTGCAACCAACTTGCCAGCTGAGAGTGAAGACTCAACAAATGAAAATGAAACCCAGCGTTATGGTAAATTATTAAAGGAAGTTTTTTTTTTTTAATTTATTTTTTTTAAGTTGCATTTTCTGGGATGTGCAACTGTTACCTTGGAGATCAGTTCCCATGGAGCTGGGAAGTGTAAGATCAGATCAAGAGCAATGAAGTGATCTAACAGCTGCTTGTGCTGGCTCTGGTCTGTGTGCTCCCTGAAAACTCTTCCTCCTTTTCCTCTCTCTTTTATTTTCTTTTTAATAACAACTGAGAGGTTGAAAAGCCAGAGTTAATTAACCTTGTCTCCTTAGGAAATCGGAGTCCGGGGGTTCTTTTATGAATCAGGTTCATTCCAGTGAGGAGATAAAAATAGTTTTTAAACAAAGTAAGAATATAATTTCCTCCAGACTTCTAAAATGGACTCTGTTTAGGCTACATGTAGAAAAATGGCACGGATTTCATGGTGATTTATCACCTCATCCTGAAGGTTAATGACACACAGTCTTCTTCATGCTCATTGTCTTGTTATCTACACGGTGGCCTTCCTACCATGATACTGGGCCACAGAATTGGCTTACATAGCCGTGGAAGAGCCTCAGCTCGGTCCCAAAACCTGATTCTGCAATTTCACTCTGAAAAGATTGTACACCCAGTGTTACGCTCCCAGTCTGAGCTGAGACTGATATATTTTTTTGTCCTCTCAAAATGGTTTTGAACCACTGCCTCGGCCTGTGGTTTTGAGTTGGCTGCTGGTTGTGTTAGCAGAGGGTAGAGAACTCATTAAAAACTACGTAGGTGTTGTCCGTGAAGGAGCTCTGACACAGCTTGGTTACTTTGAATTCAGCTCTTGCAGCAAAAATAAATGCTTGCAACTGGCTTCCTCGTAATTTGGGAAGGGTGGCTAAGAAAAATCAGCCTGAGGAGGATGCGAGCTGTACGAGGTCTCTCTTCTGTATCTTATGCAACTTTTTCCCTTGTGCTAATTGCCCATCTTGTGAGCAAGGACAACTCCCGTCAGCATCAGGGGCGTGGGACAGAAAGCTCTCTTGGCAGGCACACGCTGCAGTTCAGAGCTGGGGGCTGAGAGGGGGCAGAAAGACAATTTTTTTTTCATTTGCGTAGCAAAAAATCCTGAGCAGTGCCACCAGAGCCAGCCAAGGTGGTGGGAGCTTAAATTTATAAAGGACTCAGCCAAGCTGATGTTGTCACTGAGGCTTTCAGACACCCACTCAGAAAGTAACGTGGGGAAAAAATGAAATCTTGGGGTCCCAGGATCGTGGTGCCCTGGGTACAGCCCTGCTGGATACAGGCCTAATGCCTTTGTGCCAAGCTCCTCAGCAACAATAAAGATATTATCCAGGTGCCTGCACCATTGGAAGAACATCAGATTCCCCCCACTCCTCAAGCCCACTGGTTACAGAGAGTTCAGGATGAACTGATAGCGATGGGGAACTGGCTTCCGAGCAGCTGGCATCAAAGACAAAGCGTGCAGGAGCTGGTTGTTCCCGTCCTGGAACATGAAACGTTGCAGCCAAGACCAAAAGGAAAAAAAAACAAAAAACCAGCAGTAAAGAAACAGCCTTTTCCCTTGAATTGTCTTGAAGGAAAGCAGAACATTTGTGGTGGAGTGTGGAGCACCTGTGAGGGTTTTTCAAGATGATGAGGAAGCCAAAACACTTTGTTAAGGGATTTAATCTTGTCAGAGCATGAGTCTGAGATGGCTGATGGCCTTTGCTGATATCAAAGCAGGTGCTTTGAGTACTGGCTGAGGTTTGGACTGCTCCAGAGGGGAAAAAAAAACACGATGGGGACCTTCACCCTGTGAAGCAATGAGCTGGGTCTGCAGAGGAAATTCTGCTAGCACCTGAGCTCTGAATGCAAGGCTGCCTTCAGAGGCAGCCTTTGAGAGCTGCCGTGGCCAAAAGCTGTGCAAAGTGCCCTGCTTTTGGAGCGTGTGACAGCTGCAAAGGGTGACCCTCATCCTCTTTTTTCTTCTCCCAGGAACATCCAGCGTGGCCAGAGCCTGGAGTGCGACGTTCGACGAGATCATCGGGCAGCACATCGAGGAGTTCTGCAGGAAATACATGACCATGGATGCGCCGGGAGTGCTGGCCAAGTACCCAGACATCTTCGCCGTGGTGATAATCATCATCCTAACAGGTAAAAACCTGGCGGGGGGGGGTTAACGCTGGGCATCTCCTGTTTACAAGCTTTGAGGGGAGCATTGTTGATGTTTTTGAGCCACTTTTAAAGCCTTTGATCAAATTTTATATAAGGAAGGCAAGAAAAGATGACTTGTTATCCTCAATCAGGTATGGAAGTCTAATCCTTCCCCCCACAAATCCTATTACACAAGGATTTCATTCTGTTACTCCACTGCTTTTATTCCCCCTTTGATAATCTGCCAATTTTCAGTGCCTTGGGCCAAGAAAAGTGAGAGGGAAAAACATGGGACTCGGTAGCAACCTCATGTACTATTTTTTTATATTAGGTGTCAAAACATGGAAATGTGTACGGGCTTCAATTTGCAGCACTGAATGCAAGACCCCAGAGAAGTAAACGTATGAAAAGCAGTCAGGTCCTCCTCCTTTTTTCCTAAAAATGTGCCAAGGCTTTGATCAGGATTTGGAAAAGTCTTGAAAATGTGTAAAATTTTAAGCTGGGAAGAGCTCAGATTTGGTACAGCGCTGACATTTTCACTAAGGGAGCTGTTCTGGGTCTCCTCCACCAGCCCCTGCGCATGCTGCTGGTGCTGAAGTAGCCGACTGTGTGTTTGCTCTTTTTGCAGGGCTTTTAATTTTTGGTGTGAAGGAATCGGCCCTGGTGAACAAAGTGTTCACCTGCATCAACATCCTCGTCCTCGGCTTTGTCATGGTCTCCGGCTTTGTGAAAGGATCGCTTAAGAACTGGCAGCTGACCGAAGAGGACATTTACAACACCAACCACAGCATTTTGGGGGACAAGTAGGTCGCACCTTTTTTTTTTTTAGACCTAAAATGGATGCATTTGCAACAGCAGGTTCAGAGGAGGGTTTGTGGGGCGATTCAGAGGATCGGTGAACGGGACGGCTTCCTCCTTCACCGAGCTCTTTGGGGGCAAAGATGGTTTTGGTGGGTGTTTCATGAATGTGGGTGACTGTTGGGGTGAAACTGGTGGGAATTAGGCTGTGCAAGCATGGGCTCTGCACAGGAGTGAGTCCAAAATTGAGAGAAAAGAGCTTTTCAGATAACCTTGAGCACGAGGTTGGCTCTGGTGCCTGTTTTAAGCCACGATCAAGTGTAGCTCTGTCGTTTCTTCGGGCTCGTGGGCAGTTTCCTTGAAGAACCTTTGTACCTTTGGGAGACCTTGTCCCAAATGCCTGAGGAAGTGGGAGGCAAGTTGCAGGTTATTTTAATGCACTGCAGCAGGCGTATCACAAATCCATTTTTAATGATGTTTTGCTGCTTGGCCAAAATCCTCAATTCCAACAAAAAAAAAAACACAAAAATAAGGAGCTTGCAAGGGTAGCCAGTGATACCAGGCTGTTATTTTCTTTTTTTTACTTGAGACTGTGTGGCACAGAACGACTGCTCCCTGGCTTTCCAATGTCTCCACATCTATCAGCTCAGTCCTGGCTCACTCTCTGAACCCTTCACGCTGGCCTGCAAGGAAACACAGGCTGGCACACGCCGGAGAGATTTATAAATGTTGCATGGGTCTAGCTTGGCTTGTATACAAGCCACTTATTGAGCTTCTCTGGAAAATTCAGCCTGCTGTGATCTTCTTCCCTGCGAACAAATTGCTTCTGTAGGAAAGGTTCCCCCTCCCTCCCTCCTGCTATTCCCATGCAAGTAGCAATTAGTGCAACGGCTTCAACGTGGAGCTGTAGCTCTTTCACCCATAGCTCTTGCTATTTTTGTCAAGTCTGTCTGGGGTTTGCTTCGCTTTAGCATTATTTCCAGAGCAACCCACATTTAGGCTGTGCTATTTCTGCAAATAACAGGCGAGTTTGCAGCTCTCGGTGGAGCTCCTGCAAGAGAGTTCAGATGCTTCTACCTGATAAGACGTGCAGATCTGGGATTCGCCTTAATCGAATTAATTCATCTTTGCAAGGCTTCTTCCTCAATTTTGAGTGGCCTAAATTAGTCTAACTGAAGGATCTTCTGTATATGCATATCGACACAGGCAGCTGTATCTCAGGCTTTGATCCAGAGTGCGCTGGGGTCATTAGGTGCCTGTTGTAACGAGCTTTGGATCAGGCTCAGCAAAAGATTTGCTTTGTCAGAGGTGCAGGCACCTCAGCTCACACGCAGGATTTGCATACAGGATTTGGTGAAGGGAGTTTTGAGGCTGAGGGTGGAGCACTGGGTAGGTTTTAGACTGTCACGGCAGCCTGCGTTGCTCTGATGTCTCCTCACGCCTTGTCTGAGTTCATCTTAGGTGAACAGAGGATGCTTTACATTTTTCTCTGTCTTCAGTTTTCAGAATTAGGTGTTGTGCTTTTTCAAAAGCTTCTTGAAATGTTTCTACACACATACAATGTTATCAGGAGAGAAAATTTAATGTTCATGTTATCTTCTCCCTGTCTCAGCTGAGACATTTTTATCCCAACATAAATACAGGTGCTGAGAATAAACCACAAACCATTTTTATTCCCTGCGTTCCCCAGGCTGCTGCAGGCCAGTCCAGAGCCCAGCAGTGGGTAGGGCTGAGCATTTCCCTCAGTATTTGCATGCTGGCACGTGAAAAGGAGAGCGTGTCCCTTTGAACTCCAGCTGTGGACGTTGGTGTGAGTTTGGTTCCTGCTACCTGGGCAGAATGCCTTTTATAACCCTGTGTCTTGTTTTTCAGCCATACCCAGGGAGAAATGCTCTATGGTGTTGGAGGCTTCATGCCCTATGGATTGAAAGGAGTCCTCTCAGGGGCAGCCACGTGCTTTTATGCTTTCGTTGGATTTGACTGTATCGCTACGACAGGTAAGAGGGAGCAGGTCTTCCTGCCAGATGTGACCCTGGTTGCTGGCTGCTTGGCTTTCAGGAATGTTTTACAGCACAGATGATGAGTAATCCGTGACGCTGCATCCATTTTCCCTGTGAACCTCAGCCCAAAATACATTTTTGACTCAGCTGCTCCTAATCCTTAAACTGCTGAGTACGTCCAAGTCCCTGGGTGCACGAACGTTGCCTTCTGGCTGCTGTGGCAGGTGGCTAGATCATATAACCCATAAAAATGCCTTTTTCCCTTCTTCTTTGCCTCCGGGGCTCAATCCCATGGTTGTTCACTGCTGCTAATAACCAGCTCAGAAAACACGGCCAGTTTTACCAACAGGCACGCAGTAAAACCCAGGTTCTTGTGTGACTGGTGGAGTTTGAGCCTCTAACTCCAAACAATGCTTTAATCAGGTTATCCTGGAGCAGGATGCTTCAGTGCCTTCAGCTGAAGTGGTGCTCCAGTCATCCTCCACTGGCTTGGAGTATTCAAAGAGCCAGAGAAAGAGGGAGCCTCCAAGGAGGAATATTCCACCTAAAGCAGTGCCTCAAAACGAAGGGGAGTTTTTATCTCCAAGGGTTCAGAGATCTCCTTCTGAGAGAGTAACCACCAGCGCTGTTACATTCCTCCTGGCTTAGAAGGATCTAATTCCCCCAGAGAAAGGAAGGCTTACCCTTAATTTCGCGTTTGGCAAGGAATGAGTTGCTTCAAAGCTGGCACAGAGGGAGGAGACCATCACAGAGACAGATAACAAAGTACTGCCTCGTGTTCCAAGGAGTTTGAGAAATGCTGGCTCCATTACTTCAGCTAGCCCTGGGGCCTCTCCTTGGAGGAGGAACACATTCATCTGTCTTTGACTTATAGGTACAAGAGTCTGCTTATTGGGTCTGCCTCCCGAAATGCCAAGCCTCAGAAGCTTTTGCTTTGAGACAGGAGCAGCTCTGGAGAACAAGGAAGCCTCAAAGCTGCTTCTTAATCAATCACTGTCTGCATTTAGAGGATTTTTTAAAATTTTTTTACACATTTCCCCCAACTTGATTGTCCAAAACATTCTATAAAAAACAGAGGGAGTCCTTTTTAGAAAGGGATTTTCAAAGACCCCTGTGATTTTCATGTGAAATGAAAAGCCTGACCTGACCTTCCCTGCAACTGGGCGTGTAGTGTGCTCTGGTCACAGTGCAGTTGCTTTGGTGGAGATGCTGATGGAAATTCGGACCCAAATACTTGCCCCACAACTGCATGGCATTTTTTGTCTCGTCACTTGTGAGTTTGAGCTGTTTTGGGCTGCGCTATCAGTGGGATAGCAGGAGCAGTTGGAGATAAAAATAACCCTTTTTGGGGGAAGGCGCTGCCTTTAATCCTGATTGTTTCTATGTCTGAGTTTACACGTCACCCACAAATGTTTGAAGGAGTGACAGGAGCAGCAGCAGTGGGAGGAAGCAGCCAGTCTGAGGTATGTGACGGGCTCCTTAGGCCGTTGGGAATGTGCAGCTCCACACGGCAGCTGAACCTACACAGAACCTTTGAAATCTCCAGCCATTACGTGTTAGACTGGGAGAAAATTCGTGCCAGACTTTGGGCTGATGCTCCAATTTCTTTCTTCTAGGTGAGGAGGTAAAAAACCCTCAGAAGGCCATTCCCATCGGCATTGTGGCGTCTCTGCTCATCTGCTTCGTGGCTTATTTTGGCGTGTCAGCTGCCCTGACGCTCATGATGCCTTACTACCAGCTGGATACCAACAGCCCTTTGCCCAACGCCTTTAAATACGTGGGCTGGGATGGAGCCAATTACGCGGTAGCGGTCGGCTCCCTGTGTGCACTTTCTACGAGGTGAGGCACGGCCTGTCCTTGGTGCTCTTTTCAAAGCAAACACTTATCTCCAGCTTCTTTACAGAACAGTGCGTGTCAGGGCTGAATAGTGGCCCAGCTTGTTTGCCTTTATCACCTTCCCCTGGGTCTTTGTTAGCAGAGGAGCTGGGATCAGGGCTAAAATTCAGAGCTGTGGCCTTGAAAAAGCTCAGGATTTCAACCTGTGACAAGTTTCAGTGATGCACACGACCAGGATCACTTCAGAAACACCCATCTTGGCAGCAAACCCAATCTTTGTGTCTCTGTAATACAAACCTGGGATCAGGGAGTCAGGGAAACAGCTCCACACTGCCTGCAAGACATCCTGGCCTGCTGAGTGGGGAGCAGAATTAAGTCAGGGAGCAGGGAGCATCTCGTGGAGCATCCGCAAGTTGCCTGACTCTCCCTGGAGACCTGTTGTTTCAGTTCAGCTCAGGCATATGCAATTAGGTGAGCAACTCTTAGAGGCTGGAAGGAGTTACAGGTGTTTTGACACCCAAAAGTCAGGCTGTTTGTGCCCCAAGGCTAAGTTATCCAAAACCATGGAGCTGTGCCTCCGTTGCCAGCTATCAGCAACAGGGCTGTTCAGAGGGAGCTCTTGAAAGAGAAGCTGAAGTGGATGAAAGCCACCTGTTTCATGTTTCTACTGCCATAAACTCGATGTGTTTTGTGCTCCTGGGCTCAGCAGGAGGTGTTGTAAGTAGCTTATTTCCCCTTTCTCTGCTCTTAGTCTCCTCGGCTCCATGTTTCCAATGCCTCGAATAATTTATGCTATGGCAGAAGATGGGCTGCTCTTTAAATTTTTGGCGAAAGTCAACGAGAAGAGGAAAACGCCCATAATTGCAACGGTGACATCAGGAGCCATCGCAGGTGAGATCCTAAAGCTTGCACGAACGGGAGGAGCGGAGCCATAAGCTCATCCTGGGGGCAGATAAGCCTGCCTGACGCTCGCTGCTAATCGGATATAGTGCACAGTGTGACTTCCCAGAGCACGCCCTGGGTTTCTGAGGCCTGGAAGCACAAGGGCAGAGTGAACGTGAGTAGCTCGCTGTGAGTCTGCACCTCTTGCTCCGAGCTCGTTGCAGGCACCCTGCCTCATGCCAAGAGCTGCCTTCATCCCCTCCCCGGCTGCTCGGCCGTCTTTAGAAGTAATTAACCCCCCGCAGGTGGCAGCCAGCTGTGCCCCAGCATCCCTGGCTTGGCTGCAGCCCCTGCAGCCTGCCCTGGCTGTGGGTTGCTGCTCGGGGGAAGATGCCAGAGCAGCCGGAGACGAGCAGATGGAGCCCGTGGCACAGGCATTTGTTAATCAGTTCGTCGCAGCTGCTCTCAGTCCTGTCCTCCCCTTCCCTCACCCGCCTCCCAAGAGCACAGGAATTAACCCAGACAGCAAAGCCGAGTGGCTTATCCTCCTCTCGCAGCCACCCCCGTCCTCGCCGTGCCTCGCAAGCAGAGGCGTGGTGCTGCTTTCTCCCTCTCCTTCTGCCATCCAAGTCAGGGAGAAGCCTCTGGAGGAAGAATGTGCCACATCCAAGTTGCTGCCAGACTGTCATGATGGGCTCGAAACTCCAGTGAAACAGCTCAGCCTCCTGCAGCTGCAGTCTGGGCCCTGTGGAGTTTTCCACGCAGCTTCTTCCCTCACATTTTTCCCTTCAGGGTGCCTTGAGTCCAGACTGGGGAGTAAAGAGCCAGAGAAAATAAGAAAAAAAAGTCTGCAGCATCTTCTGGTCACCCCACTGTGGGCTGTAAGCATGCAGCTGAAGCTGCAGGCGTGGGGAGCACTTGCCACGTGTGCTGTGGCGGTCCAGGAGAGGCAGGAACTGACAAGGCCACGGGTGCCCAGCAAATCCTGCCTTCCCCCACCTCGGGATGCCCCCAGCTCCCTGTGTTCCCTTTGCCAAGTCCCGAGCAACAGCCACACGTGTGCTGTGCTGCTGATAACGCTGCTGGGATGTGCTGTGTTAATGTTTGTCCTTCCCTCTCGCCCTCCTCTCCCCCCGCAGCTGTTATGGCTTTTCTCTTCGACCTGAAGGATCTTGTGGATCTCATGTCCATCGGGACCCTCCTGGCTTACTCCTTGGTGGCAGCCTGCGTCCTGGTGTTGAGGTATGGCTGGAGCAAGAGCCTCTCTTGCACCACACGGCAGCCAAATGCCCTCCTAATTTCCACAGACCCCATAAAACCCCAAATATCTCCAGCTAAGCATGTGAAAGACTTCTTTCTTTGAGGTCGTGGGCTTTTGTACTCGCTGGAGGTGCAAGGGAATCCACAGGACTCGGTTAGTCCCTGCTCCACACCCCCTTAAAAGCTGTCAGACCATGCGTGTCCTAGGAGATGTGCCCATGGTCATCACCACTCCTGTTCCCACTGGGGGTAGAGTTTCAGGCTTTTCCAAGGGGATTCAAGAGAAAATAGGTTGTGGGAAGGGATCCTTGTCAGTATGTTCCTACTGTGATGAGAGCAGTGGGAAGGAAGGAGCTATCATGAGCAGCAGGGCTGAAGATTCTTGGACGTCTGGCTCCTTTTTGGAGTTTGAAGGACAGAGCCAGCTCCTGGGCAGACACATGAGGTTCTCTCTTGTGTCATTTCTACGAGAAGGTGTGCGGGTGGGAGTTCAGCTCTCACCTGAGCATTAAACCCAGGTGGGGCTGTGTTGCTCACAACTTTTGCCTTTGCTCTGCGTCCTCCAGAAAGTCAGCAGGGATACCCTTCAGTCAGCAGTGAAGTGCTGCAGATTGTCCCAGAAGGAAGCACAGAACCACAGAATGGTTGGGGTTGGGATTGTCCAGCCCAACCTGCCTTCTCAAGCAGGGTCTCCTGGAGCATTTTACCCAGGATTGTGTCCAGACAGCTTCTGAATATCCAGGAGAGGAGACCCCACACCTCTCTGGGCAGCTTGTTCCCGTGCTCAGCCACCAAGTAAGGGAGCAGGAGCAGAGCCTGGCAGCAGCAGTGAAGTTGAGCATGGGTTTGTAGGATCAGTGCCTTAGTGCGTGTCTTTTATGAGGGCTGAGCTCCCACAGCTTCCCGAGCATAAGCTGAAAATGGAGCGTCTGAATTGTTTGGCACCTCACAAGCAGCGCTCTACCCAGAAGGGCTGGATTTTGAAGATCGTGTTGCTGAAAATCACCCTTCTGTGTTCAACGAGTTAGTTAAAATCCAGAGGATGCTTTTTACCTGCTCACAGCAAATGTAATGAAACTAAACTCAGGTGAAGGGCCGACACTGCACTTTAATGCTGGTGCTGGGTGCCTGTGCTGTCCACCCTGCCCCAGTGCACAGAGCTGGGGGATTTTCCCTGCCCTTCATACCTTCCCTCTGGTTTCCCAGCCCTCTCGGCTCCATATGGCTGTAAATGTCTTCCTAATTTGCTTTTGCACGCTGCAGTGCCTATCGGGTGGCATTTTCCCCACCGTAGATCTGCAGAGCTGCCAGCCAGCCTTTTAGCAGCCAGGGCAGCTGCTTTGGCTGCCTGTTGAAGAAAAACCTCGACCGTTTCCAGAGCTGGAAGGTGCTGTGACTGATACCCTGCTACGGCTGGACCCAAGGGTTTCACTGCGTCCCACAGCTCATCTTTCACAAATCTCATTGTCAACGTATCCCCACAGAAATGGTTTTAAGGAGCCTGGCAAAATGGTCCTGTCCTTTAGGTAGACGTAGCTGAAAGCCACATGCAAAGCAAAAATGAAAAGAAAAAAAAAAGAGCTGGGGCTGGAAGAGGGTTTTTTGTGGATGGATTCATGTCGTTGTACATCAGGGCCCTGTTAAATGAGGCGTTGTCCACATGTGCAATAAAAACCCTACAGTTCTTTGCTTTGTAGCAACAGGCAAAGCAACAAGAGGCTGGACCAGAGGAGGACAGCACACCAGGAATGTCTCTGCGTGGTGTGATCAGCAGCTGCCAGGGCGTGATATGTGCTGAGCTGTTAGTTCAACTGCCTCCACACCAGAACACTGGAGGCTGCCACAGATAAACCCACAGCCTCTTCGTGGCTGTTCTCCTGGCACATCCTTCTCCAGGCCTCCTGCTATCACCTGATAATATTTTGGTGATGTGGGTGATGGGGTTTATGGAAGAGATGGCTGGCCAGCTTAAAACATGGATGTTACAACCAAGCTTTAGGCGGTGACAGCTGATTGTATTTGCTCACGTAGTGAACAAATCCTCAGATTTTCCCCTGAAATACAAGTCTGTAGGCATTACGTGTGCCTGTTCTGAGGCTATAGGGATCTGGGGTGCAGCCACAGTTTTCTGTTGCCCTATGCCAAGCCCATAAATTCTTTGTCTCACTTCCCTTTTCCTAGGTATCAGCCCGAGCAGCCTAATTTGGCTTACCAGATGGCTCGAACGACAGAGGAGACAGACAACAACGAGTCTGTGAGCACCAGCGACTCGCAGGCTGGCTTTCTGCCAGAGGAAGAGGAGAAATGTTCCCTCAAAGCCATCCTGTGTCCCCCAAATTCCGACCCTTCCAAATTCTCTGGCTCAGTGGTGAACGTCTCGACCTTCATCATCGGTAAGCACCGGGCAGCACTGCTTGGGGGCAGCTGGTAGGTCCTGGAGCTCACCGTGCTGGGAAAGCTCAACTCCTTGCTTGGTTTGAGTTACCTGGAATTGCAGTGAGCTCTTGTAGCAGCTAAAATAACTGAGGATCTACAGGTTAAATTGATGACTTGAAGAAAAATACACAGATGGGGTGTGTGGGGGCGTACAGGGAAAGGGAATTCGTTTTCTTGTTTTGCGGTTTTGTTTGCTCTTCTTTCAGATTTTGCTTTGCCCTGCTTGTATTTTTATTTTTTTAATATCTTTTTTAAAAAAGCACCATAAGCTTTTGGTGTCTGTTCACAGGTTTCCTTATCGTGGGCAGCTGCATCCTGACTGCCCTCGAGCCAAGCATCCTGATAAAGGCCGTGTGGATTCTTGCTGCGATACTGGTCCTCATCGTCAGCTTCGTTATATGGAAACAGCCCGAAAGCAAGACCAAGCTTTCCTTTAAGGTGAGTGCCCTGGGAGGAGGTGCAGCTCGAAAAAAGCCCTCTGGGAGGTGGCTGGCAGAAGACACCAGCCCTTCTTCTTGTCACATTTTCAGTGCTGTGCTGCCCAGACAGCTGGCAAGCTGTTCCCAATAGCTTAGCCTAAATTTCCATGCTGCACATTGAGCTGATATTTTATTTTTATTTATCCTGCTGTTGGCCATGCTAAGGGATGACCATTCTCTCGTTAACAAAATTAAATAAGAACAACTCTCTCCATTCCCTTGCCCTGCCCAAGCACAGCATCATTTTTATATTGAAAAAATACCTTTTTATAAAAAAATATATCTTTTTTTTTTCAGTATAATCCTGCAGGTCACGTTTCCTCGTATTGATTCCAGGCTGTTCAATCTAGAAAGGCAGGCTTGAATTCTAATCCCGTCCTCTCAAGTACTCTCATAGTTTTTCAATAAATTTAACCCAACCATAGTTTCTCAAGTTAGTGTTTGCAGCTCGTCTTTGGCTTATGGGCCCACGAGTGGAAACAAAGTGCCTCGGAGCAGAAAAGTTAGGAGCTGTTGCCTGGGCTGTATTTTCTGAACTTATTTCTGAGGAGATCTTTTTTTTTCCTGACACTCAGGATATTTTAACTCCCTTTTTTGCCCTCAGGCACTACCCTGTCCGAAGCAGAAAATTAGACCTGTCACTGGTAAATCTGTACTGGCTGTTTCTTATCTCCTTGTTGTCTTTTCGATGTTTACAGCCTGCCTGCTTAGTGATTTTTCTCCAAAATCTCTCCAGGAATCCAAGGCTGACTGGTTTGTTCCCCAGTTGTTTTCCCGTATTTCTTTTTAATAGGTGATTTGTCTACCAAGAGCTCTGGGAGATGCCCAATAATAGTTCAGAGATCATCTCTGCAGTCTCTGAACACATACCTTACCCCCGCAGGGCAATGTCATTTGTCCCTGCTGACTTGACAGCGCCTAATTTAGGAAAATATTCTTCCTTTTTCTAACTTGTATGTCCGTCCCTTTCCTAATGAAGGGAATGGCTGGCCCCCATAAATGTGTGGGGTGTTTTTTGTTGAAGCTTAAACAGGAAAGGCTTAAAATATTTCAGACTTATTTTTTTTTATTATTTATTATTAATTTTTGTAATCCCCTGAGTGTTGATCTAACCTTGTTTTATCTCAGATCTGGCAGCTGAAGCGTTGGTGACAGCCATCACTGCCCATTGAACCAGGGATGTGATGTTCTTCCTTCCCCTTTAATCTCTCCAGCCGATGTAATGTATCCCTCTTGCTTTTTCAGGTACCTCTTTTGCCCCTTCTTCCTATTGTGAGTATTTTTGTGAATGTTTACCTCATGATGCAGCTAGACCTAGGCACGTGGATACGATTTGCTGTCTGGATGCTCATAGGTGAGTTTAAGAGAGGAAAAAAAAGCGTGTGGTCAAAGTTAATGGGATTTTGTTAGCTATAAATTTATTGTAGCATCCCAGGGAGGGATTCTGCTTGCTGTTAATCTCCAGATAACCTGCTGAAGCCATCTAGGCAGTGTGTTTCCAGCTTTGTTTTAAGGGTCATGAAGTCTTTGTGAGCTCCCGTAGTGGAAGGAGATCTGGAGGATCGAAGAGAGGTGAAACAGTAAGGGCTTCCTGAAGCTGAGCTCTGCCCCGAGGTGTTCCCAGCAGCCCTGTGGAGGAGGCTGCAAAGCCCAGGGAGGTTATGATACGGAAGAGCATCAGTTGCTGATGTATTTTACTGAGATGGAGGCACGCAAGGGGAGAGGGAAGGCTTTTGTGTGGAACAAACAGCACTGAACAGTGCGAGGGGTTCATTCTGCAATCGGCCCTGTTTCATCTGGTGGTTTTGGGGCAGGGATAGGTCATCTTTTAACATATGGTGCCTGTGTTTATGGCTTTTTTCTGAGGCAGGCAGTGCTGTGATCTGCCAGAGTGCTGTCAGGATGGCTGGACTTAACCAGCAACCCGTGCCTGTAGGCGTGAGGAGAGCTTTCTGTTCTCTCACCTTGCTCTCTCCCCTCGTTCCCCGCAGGCTTTATCATCTACTTCACCTACGGGATATGGCACAGCGTGGAAGCCACGTACGCAGCCACGGCGGACGCGGAGAGAAGCACGGAAGCTGGCTCGGACAGCTGCAAATGACTGCGTGCTGGCCTCACGGGCACCTGGGGAAGCGCTGCAGCCGAGGAGGCAGCCGCGCCGGGGGGAGCCCGAAGCGTTGCCCCCGGTTAATCAGTAAGGCAGAGACCAGGAAGCGCGACGTGGGGATCCCCGGCCCCGCTGCTGCAGCTTGCAGCTTGCTTCCTAGCGCAGTCAAAAAGGATGGCAAGGGAAAAAAAGCCGCACCTCTGGCACGCTCCCGGCAGCGCCGTCAGCTAATCCGGGGCCGTGCTCTTCCCCTCCTGTTTTAATTTTGAATTTTGTTTTTTATTTTTCGGCGTGCGTAGAACGAACACGGCTTCTGTGTGCCAGTTAACCTTAAATGCTGCTATGAAACCTTTCAGTAGCCCTGGGAGTGACCTCCCCACAGCCACTGCCTGATAGCACGCGGCGCAGATCCGCAGTGCCACCGTCGTGCTTAGCCTGATGCGAGCTGTACCACTTGTGTACGCACAAAAAAAACCCAAAAGGCTCCTGCCAAACACCAGCTTTTGCCTGGTTAAGAAAGCACCCGCAAGATTTGCGTTCTGTAAAGGATTGGGTTTCATAGTTTTTACTGTATTTAACTTTTTTAACCTCTTTGCCTCAAAAACCGCCGGCAGCGGGGCGGCATCAAGCCCGGAAAATAAGCAGGGCCCTTGCTTTCCTCTCCGTGCATCAGGCTGGTTGGAATTCCCTCAAATTCCCCCAAATAATTCCCCAGCTGAATTCCTTGCTCTGAAAAAGGCTTGTTAGAGCATTAGAAAGGTGGGCCATGCCCATGTAACGCCACTCTTAAATTTAAATTCACTTTTTGGCTCGTACTGAGCAACAAATCCTGAACAGACACTGCAGGAACCCCTGCCCTGCCCTGGCTGGATGCTGCCTTAGGTGCCCTCCGCAGCTTTTGACCTGTCAGCGCAGCTCTGGGTGGTGAAGGGAAGGAGAGCTGAGGAACAGGCTCCTCGATTTGACTCGACCAGGGGCTTAGTGGGATGGAGTTGGATGCACTGGAAGCTGTGCTGTGCTTTCGGGGTGCGTTTTCAGGGCACTTTCATCCCGGCAGATGGTCCTGCCCGTCTGCCAAGCCTTTTTTCCTTCTGTACGTATCAAGTCTTTGCTCAAGCAGGGAGAGAAGAACATCAAAATTGAAGCCCACGAGGTGGAGATCTGTTTTGATTTTAAACAAAGGCAAACTCGACGCACTCCACAGCCTCCTGAAAAGCACTGAAGGTGTGGCAGGAGGGCAAAAATAAAAGGAAAACGCAGAGGGGATTTAAGTTTCTCATTGTACCAAAACCGTAAGGACATTTTTCTCCACCGTGGGTACCGGCTGTGAGCAATTGAGACATTCAGCATTAACGATATGAATTCTGACTGGAAGGGTGTTTCCAAAGAGAATTATTTAAAAATATGCAGATTTCTTGCTGTATGTATTATTATTTTTTTTTAATATAAATGTTAACTTATTTTTTTTTTCGTTGTCTGCTTAGGGATCTGTTCTGGTATTTATATTCCTTAACTTGACGTCAGCTTTTGTGGCATGTAACTGCAGCACTTGGAAGGAAGGGAAAGTCTGGGCTGGGGCCATTTTTCTTCATCTTATTTGAGGTTTCATAGGAAAAACCTTCTGTGCCCCCAGAGCCTGCACTCAGTGTGCCATTACCCGTCCCAGCCCCAGAGCCACCTGCTGCAAATCTGCTGTGGGAGTTGAGGGCTTTTTTTCCCATCTCAGGCTCCTGCAGCCCACCCTGGGCCACCTTTCAAGAGGTTTTATTGCCACTTTTTGGAGCTGTGCTGCCCTGGCACGATGTAGCCACAGGGACACGAGTGGCAGGAGGGGACAGCAGGTTTGGCTCGGGCTCCTCGTGGCTCCGTCCCCCCTCGCTTCTCTTTTGCAACCCGAAAGGTGAAAGAAAAAAAAAAAATTGGGCTCCCTCTTTCTAGGATGATGCCCAGGACTTTGCGAATGGGTGAGTTTTTATTTTTTATTTAATTTATTTTTTTTTTCTTTTTGTTTTTTTGTCTCTGCCTCCCTGCTGATGTCTGCATGTAACACAGACGAAGCCAGGTGTGTTTGAAGACATGCAGCTGCTGCTATAACCTCGCTGTAGTGAGCAGTAGGCCTTCCCTCCTTGGAGCTTTCCTTTGTAAATAGTTGGCTCACGATTTTGTTTTGTTTTATAAGGACGTTGTGTAGAGATGCAGAGCATTTCACTGTATGAGGGGGTGGGAGGAGCAGAGGAGTGATGCCTTGCTCCTAAACACAGCCTGCCTGCTCCTCTGGGGCAGGATCTGGCCCCAAGGACCGACCTTATTTTACCCTGTTTGGGTGCTCCCAGTTTGCTCCCCGCACAGGAGCCCTCCGACATGGAGCCCGCCAGCCTTTCCCCAAGGAAATCTGCCACAACAGCGCTCCCCCGAGCTAATAGTTTGGCGTAAAAAACCCCAAACGATTAGCTTTTGCTTATTTGCTTACAAATTTAATTCTCTGGTTGCTGAAAAGTCATCACCAGCTCGGTTTTGGCTTCATTTTATGTTCTTTTTGCCCCTCGGGGTGGATTTTGCCACCGGTTTGGGCGCCTGGTGTGTGCCATCCCCGTCAGGGTGCAGCAGGACGGGGAAGGGAGCCCCTCATGGCCCTGCTGCTTGGTTTTGGGGCAGGGTTTGGGAAAAAATCCTGTTCACAGGCTGTTTCGTGCCTGTGGGGAGATAACATCTCTCCTGCTGGCGCGGGGAGCAGCCGGCGATATCATGAGGGCATTCACTGCGTTGGTGTTCTGTACGATCAGCTGCTTGAGCGGTGGCGTTTTGGGTATTGCAGTGGGATTTCTCAAATTCCTGCTAGCACAAGCATTTCCACCCCCGGAAAACCGCTTACAAACGAGCTTTGTTATCAGCTGGCCCAGCGGGTAAGCGAGCACACGGGCAGCGGAGAGGGTTCGGAGGGGTGCAGGGCGCCCCGCAGCCCCCCTGCATCTCAGCACCGTCCCCTTTTAAAGGCCGCTCGTTCCCTCTTGCAGAAAAATCCTCTCTGCTTCTAAATCCTCGGGTAACCTCCCAACGCCTGCTGGGCTTGATTTTTTGGGGAGGAAGAGGGCAGGTCACCAGCTGCGGGGCTGCGGGGCGGGCAGGAGGAGGGCACCCTCCGAGGGCACGGTGCTGAGGGTGCCCAGCCGCTCGCACCGGCAGCCTCATGGGCTTTTCTCAGGGTATTTGCTCCTGCTGCGGGACACGGGGCCAACCTGCTCGGGGACACGCTTCGTGGCCCTGCCTTCGAGCCTCCCGTGCCAGGGGAAGGGCGAGGAGCACGGCGCTGCCCACCCCGGAGCCGGCGTGCTCCCAAACGGGTGGTGAGCGAGGGCCCTTCCTTCAGCAAGGCGATTTTTACTGACTGAAGCCATGGAAGAGTCTGTATATTTTTTATTTTTTTGAATTATTCAGCGAAGTGTATATACCTTTCCGTTGTCCGATGGTCTATTTTCCTAATGATTTCCCCCAGAATATTTCTTACAGGCGTGGTAAATAGTTTTAATGCTTGTTCCGCAAACAAATCTAAGTTTTCAATCTTTTTGGGTTTTGGGGTTTTTATTCGGTTTCGTTTGGGTTTGGTTTTCGGCTGTGTTCACGTAGCGACTGAAGCCTTAAGTTCCCCGATGTGAAATTGCCCCCGGAGCACAGCGCGAGCCCGCAGCCTACTTTTGATCCTGCTCACACCCTGTAAATACTTCTCCCCCCAACGAAGCTCTCGGAATTTGGAAATTCACTTGTAATTATGTGGTACAGCATTAAAACATTTTTTTTTTCTCGGTAGCCAAATAAATCGTGCCTGTCGTTTATCCTGATTTTTAAATCTGCCTCGCAGCTTGTTCCAGCATCCGCGGGTGAGCTGATCCCCAAACCTCAGCAGGTCTCAAAGTCCCAAACTGTGCCGAAGGTGGGCAAACACCCTTCATCCACAAACACCAACCTCAGAGAGGTCTTTATGATGGGATTTTGCTTTGCCATTTATTCACCCCAGCTTCTGTGCACACACAAACCACCGCAGGACACACCGGGTTTTCAGGCGCCTGCCCCTTCCGTGTGCGGGCGCTCGCGTTTATTATCAGGAATATATTACACTTATCTGTACAGCGCGACCCAAATAATACAAACTCTTCCTGTACTCGTTAGCCACAGAGTAAACCAGACCACAGGGCTCCTACCGCGTGGGAACTGTACAGAGGCTCCTCGGCGTGTCCATGGGACACAAACACGCTCAGTGCAGAGACGTAAAATACCTGATTTTGCACCCGTTAGCCTTCGCCTTCCTCCCCCAAACCCCACCACCACCTCCAGCCTTTGCCCCCGTGCATTTTCCGAACCAACCCCAAGCACCCGCAGACCCTTCCAGGGGGAGATGCCAGGCCTGAACTCCCAGCTCCATCTCCCAAGAGGGAAAAAAGGAGGCTGGGGTCCTCGCTCTGCCTCCCCCCTGCTCGTATTGTGCGGGGATGTCCTCGCCAGGCACTTGGCAGGCGCCCTCTCCCCGAGGAAGACGAGGAAGATGTGTGTTAGGGAGGCTTAGGGAGGGCAGCGTTGGGGCCAGCCTTGCTCATGGCACGTTTTGCCTCCTCCTCCTGCCCTAAAACTCCCTCCTGCCTTCCCTCCCTCCTGCAAAATAGGGGAAGCAGCCGCGGTGGCTCTGATGTATGGGAAGTCGCCAGACCCCAAAAGCAAAGGCTGGGAGCCTGTCACTAGCAGGGTTACTCGGTGTCCCCGTCCCCTGGGAATGCCCCTGGCCCCAGAGATAAGGAGAAGCAGGAAAGAGGAATAATTATTTTTGGGGGGGAAGTAACTCTGTTCCTGGGCTTGCAGCAGCAGGAGGCACCCTCTGCGTCCCCCCAGGGAAGGTTTTCTGGATCCCCCCCAGCCAGGCAGAGCTTCTCACAGCTTTGCTAGCAATCGGGCAGCCCCCAGAGGCCACACCAAGGAAGAACCCAGTGACAGGCAGGATTGGGAGGCAAAAATCCGATGGGAAAGGGGTTGGCAACGACACCAAACGATGGTGGAGCTGGGATCGGTCCCCCTTCCCCCACCGCTGAAGCCCCACTCCCAATTCGCTGCTGGAAGCATCTCTTGCGTATGAACTTAACCCAACAAAGAGAGAAGGAAAGCACCAGAAATAGAGGAAAACAACGAAGAAGTTAAAAAAAAAAAAAAAAAAAAGGATGGGCTTGGTGATAATACGCTCTGCTGTGTCCAGCTGGGAGAAACTCAGCATCGTGGTCCCAGCCCTGGCTGTATGCTCTGATTGTGGCAGGAATACATCAGCAGAGCGAGGCACGGCGAGGCAGTCGGTGCTGCAGGTGCCCGTGCATTTAGCAAGGATGAGGGTGATGAACTCGGTGCCGGCCAGGAGGGGCTTTGTGGCTGTCGGGGTGTTACGGAGCTATTCGACTCGCAGGCCGCACTTGCAGGCCACGCTAAAAATCTAGTGCTGCATTTCAACAGCCAGCCTGTGTGGAGCGGGCTATCCTAACAAGATGCTCAACGTATCACAGTATCATGCAAAAGCCTCTACAAAAATAAATTTCTCTAAAAAAGGAGGAAAAAAAAACACACAACAAAAGGATCACCGTTACTCGTTAGCGCCGCGGCGAGGGCCACGGGCCTGTTGGTGGTGATCGAAGCTGTGTCTAGAACATAAAACCATCCCACAGCTCTCCCTTTGTTATTATTATTGGTATTATTTTGATTGATGCTGTGGGAAATTCCCCCCCTGCTCGTTGTCGGAGCCCACAAGGGCCCCGCAGCCCTTCCTGCCCCCTGTGGGCAAGCAGGGGCGATGCTCAGCCAGGGCGAGCTTTTATTTTGTTGCTTCAAGGCAGAGAAGCTAAAGGTCGTTTAGCCAGACTTTTCCATCAACCTCAGAAGTGCTCCGTAACTTTGGGTAAAATCTGGAGGTGCGAAATGATAGGGAGATATGGAAGGAAAAGGCTTTTGACCCCGTTTGTGCCCACGCAGTCCTATGTGCTTCAGGCCCAAGCAGGCCCCGACAGCTCGTCCTAATGCTCTTGGCCAGCAAAGGTCAAGGACAGAAGGAGCAATTTTCTCCTTCTTGCTTACGGGACTCGAAATAAATCAAAAAGGACAGTAACCTCCAAGCAGAGATTTCTGACTGTTTCCTAAACAGGTCAAGATGAAAGCCACTGAGGGTTTCGAGACTCTAAAGCTGACTCACGTTAACCACTAACCTCTCCCAGATTGACTGAAAACCTCAGGTTTCTCATCTCTAGCCTATCTCCACCCACAATACTGACTCTTGAGAGCTAAAAAGCCGTGCATGGCATGCGTATCTCATCGGGTGCTCAACGCGAAGGTGACGGTGTTCAAGGCAGTACTGTCTGGGAACTGAAAAGTCGCTGGTGTTCACGTTACGTAGAGTACCACTTGGTGGTCGCTTGGAAGGCGCTTCTACTTCTGTGTAACTTCCTTCTAGTTCGGGTATAAATATTCCTGGGAGGCTAAACAGAAATGCGTTTCGTTTAGACACAAGTCTTAGGCACGAGTTAGAAAAACTGCTGACTGTAATGAAAATAGATCAGCACTTCGTAGTATCCAAGAATATAAAAAAATGCAATTGGGAACATCTTCGACTACATATATATGTGTGTGCGTCTATCCGTAGGTATAAAGGTACAGTACATACAGGTTTATAAACACAGACACACATACGGAGATATTCACAGCCGGAACCCTATTTGTGACTACCCTGAAATACTGCAGCAGCAGCTCAGTCCGACGAACCCTTCATTCAGTATTTTCCAACTTCTGGCTCTAACCACAGTTAAAATGTGAACACATCGAGCTAAACGGTCACTACCCTAACTCGCCGCTACCCTAACTTTTTGCTATCCTTTTTTTTTTTTTTTTTTTTAATTATTATTATTATTTTCTGCTGTCCTCTTTGCTATCCTAATCGACGTGCCAGAACCAGGAGCTCCTACGTGGGGACCCTACGGGTGCCCTGCCTGGTGTGAAGCTATGCAGCTACGGAGCATGCTTGCTAGCCACGAACCCTGGGCGCCCACGGATGGCGATGCTTCCTCGCAGGGTGAAATTCAGCAGGGTGGAAACGCGTACGAGGCAGGGGGGGGAGTCATCAGCACGACCGCTGCCGGATCATCGCCGCACGGTTTTGGCTTTGGCTGGGGAGGAGTTCCCCGACGAGCAGCGGTAGAAAGCCGTGGAGGATGCGGGCGGGGATTTGACGGGGCTCACGGCTTCTCCCCCCTGCAGCTTCCAGAGGAGCTCCTCGTTCGTCCTGCTCAGCCTCTTCTTCTCCTCCACTTCTTTCTCGACGTATTCCTGGAGGTTCGCGTTCTCCTCCGATAATTGCCTGGGGAGGGGAGCGAGACCACGCGTGAGGCTCGGCGGAGGGAAGATGGGGGTGGTAAAGGATGCTGCCCATCTCCCTCCCTGTGCCATCCCACCTTGCCCCCAGGGCTGCAGCTGAGCTGGGCACAGCTTTCTCAGGACCCCTTCACCACCACTGACCACGTTCTCCTGGCTCTTAAGATTTGGCCATTTTCCCATACAGACAGCAGAGCAAAAATTGCCTAAAAAAAAGTCTCTGCTCACTGGCACAAGAGTTTCTACCTGGGAAGGTGCCCACGAGCCTCGGTGGAGGCAGCTCGCTGCTGGGATGGAGCCCAGAGCCCTGGGGCAGCAGGCACTTGTGCTCCCTGACCGTGCTGCCCCTTGGCCAGAGCTCCTCTTCCAGGACCAGGAGGGCAAGGGTCTTCAGGGACAACCCTGACACTAAATTCTGCCCAGCTCCTTTCCTGGGCTCCTTTCCTACAGCCTGAAGCCTACAGCAGCTGCCACAGACTGCTGACTCCCTGTTCTTGTGTCATCGGACATCTCTAGGGGCATGGGGTGGTATTTCTGATCTTGTTAAAAACATTTTTAAAGGTTTTCTGCTTGTTTAGCCTAGTTTCCTACAAAAAGGGAGCTTAGGTGACCATGCCATGTGTCTGTTCCTCTCCCACTCCCCTGGAAATCTGGAACCACAAAGCAGCAGCTCACAGTCAGAGGACTGAAAGACATGAGTTGCTGGAATATTTTGGGAAGCTATTTGCCCAGCAGAGGAGAAAGATCCTATTCATGACCCCGTTAGGGAAGCAGCTGTGGCGTGAGCTCACAGTCTAAACGGCGCGAGGAAGCCCACAGGGGAGCTCCCGCTGTAGAAATAACTCTTTTTAATTTTAAGCCTCGTGTGCTGGGAATTTGTGCTGTGTCATCTGAGGTGAGGTGTCCTGGACACTGACAAAGGCAGCTGGCACTGCCGGCATCCTTCAGCACGGCATCCTCCAGTGTCTGCACCGTGGCGGGGGGAGTCCAAAGGATCAGGAAAAAATAAAAATAAAAAAATTGACTATGCACGCTGGCCTCAAATTTCATGGAAGGGAGGGTGCCCTTCATCCAGCCAGAGGCAGGTATCAGCAACCGGAGGCCAAGCATCAAACCAAGAGGCACCTGAGCCACTGTCATAGGCACGGAGAGAGTCCAGCCCTTGCAGAGCACAGCTCACCCAGCCCCAGACAGATGTCTCTAGCTGGTCTGGTGCACCAGAGCTTAAAAATTTGTTTTCCCCACTCACGGAAAGGTGACCACTTCAGTGACGTGTGTTACAGATACAGGCTCAGGTTGGAGGGACCTCAAAGGTCATCTCGTTCCATCCTCGCTGCCTCCTGACCAAAGAGGTTCATGGCAACTGGCAACTGTGATCTCAGCACCATGCCAGAACCATGAGAATGACTTTGTATAGATACGTGGCCTTACATTAAATAAGCAAACCCCGATATAAAAAGGATCTGTTAATAAAACAGGCAGATCAGGAGAAAGAAACCCTTTCAGGAGAAATACACTGAGTTTTTCTCCTTCTGAAGTAAGTGCCAGCCTAGGGCAGTTAAATCTGCAGTCTCCTTCCAAGCTGACACGGACAGCAAGTATCTCACAAACCTTGTTATGACAGTATTTTGCTCAATCCTGGCTCTGAGTTCTTCATTCTGCTGTTGCAGCACAGTGATTTTTTCTTCCAGGATTAAATTTTTTTCAGCCTGCAACAAAAGAAGTTTTCTTTTTTTTTTTTTCTTTTTTTTTAGAAATCCCAAAGCCTACTGCAGGAAGATTTGTCCTTTATCTTTATTTGTCCCCAGAGCAACTTCTAACATCTGTGGATGGATGGAGGTGGTCATCTTGACCGCAAATTTGACTTGGAGGTCTGACTTTATCATCCTGGTGAAGCAGGCAGGGCAGCAGCAGAGCTCTGAGGGGAGGCAGAGCTGAATGAGCCCTTATTTCTAACTGAGGAGGAGGGTCCCAGCCCAAATAAAACATCTTCCCCCATGATGCCCCCATAGTTTCCATCCCCTGAGAGCCAGCACTGCCAGAATTACAGCTCCCTGGGTCTGGGGAGGAAGGAGTTACCCACCAGGGCTGCCTTGGACTGCTGCTGCCTTTGCATGAGTGGGCTGCCCTTTGGAGACACTTCTTTCCACTGCTGACAGCATCAGCTTAAATGATTGCCTTAAACAAGACATTTACCTTACAGCTGCAATTAGGTGAAATGAATCCTCTCCCAGGAGTAGGTAGCTTGCACCTGGGACAGCCCAAGGACAGAGTTTGAGGATGTCACCAGCAGTGTATGAAAACATCACAAAGATGTTCATAAGCATGCAGCGTGGCCTCAGACGCCCTGTCTTTCTCAAGTTTTGAATTTGACATACTTCACTTTATCACCGTAGTTCTCTCTCTCTCTTTTTTATTATTATTTATTTTTTTTATCTTTTCCCCCCTGCAGTTTGAATGTTGCTGAGTCCAACACTTTTGGGAGAAAACAAGATATCGCAGGGCGACCTTATCTCTGTGTGAGCTCGGTTATTGAATTTCCCTACCTTTTAGAAAGAATCAAAATGCTGTGCACTGGGGTTAGCAATAACTCACACTTTGAGGTGGAGGCATCAGTTTTAGGCAGTGATTTCCAGCCTGTGCAGGTAACAGTAAAGAATGATGCTGATTCTCAGCCCCATCCATCCTGCCCTTGAACACCTCCAGGGATGGGGCATCCACAGCTTCTCTGGGTGCCAGGGCCTCACCACCCTCTGAGGAAGGAATTTCTTCCTAATCTCTAATCTAAACCTACCCTCTTTTAGTTTAAAACTATTCCTGCTCCCTCATGAGGCTCCCCATCTTCCAGAGCCTTTGGAGAATCCCTGTAGGTGGCTGACACTTATAAAGGTAAACCTTCAAACAGAAAGCAGCCGTACCCTTGGACCACAGTGACCCAAGTGTTTCACCGTGATAAAGGGCAGGAGCAGGGCTGTGAGCTTGTATGTGGTTAATTAGCAAAAGCAACTAAATGACCAGAAACTATGTAGGCCATTAATTATATATATATTTATATATATATATATGTATTAATATATATATTTTTTCTTCAGTATAACTCTACTGTGTGTGTTTTCGGATGCTGGCTTGGCTCCAGGAACAAGGAGCACAGTTAACAAATCTCAGCTGTAAGGAGACCTTTTTCTCCACATCCACTTACTCAAGCATCTGTTCAGCAAAATAATCATCTGACTTCTCCGATTTCCCCGTAAATGGAAAGAAATCCTGCCGAACGCTGTGCTGAACCAGCTGTCCTGGCTCCCCAGCTGAGGTAATGCCTCATCCTGTCACCACGCTCTGCACTCACTGTCACTGCAGGTTATCCTGCACAAAATGAATCCCCTTTCCAATAAAAAGTGCAATTTATGGCAAATTGGGGAGTTCTTCCTCGGGGACCCATACAAGCAAAGGATAAGAAAACAGTGCAGTCTGCAGGACAACGTTACCTCAGGTTGGAGAGAGCAAGAGCATTCCTAGTGTATCGTGGGTGGGTAAAGGGATGGGAAAAGATCCCAATTTCTGAGTGAAAACCTGAGATGTTATAGTAGAAGAAGCTGTGTTTGGCAGTGGAAAAACATAACAGACATTTATGGACCCCTCTGCCTGTATCTTCCCCAACCCCAAGTGTTTTTCTCACCCCTTCTGAATTCATCTGCTGTAACCAAACTTTTACTTTTCTACTTCTGGGATGCCTCCTCTGGAGGAAAAATGACAACTCACTTGTTTTTCTAGCTCCATTATCTTCTTCTCCTGTTCGTGAATCTGATGGTTCTTCATTTCCAGAACATGCTTTAAGCTCTTCAGATCTTTTTCTAAGTGCAGATACGGAGCTCGTGCAATCTAGGAAATAACCAGTAAGTTATATATGTTGGCCATAAATGCATCTGCAGTCATAAGGTAAAGTTTCCCTAGTCTACCCAATGGTTTAGGAGGCTCAGTGCTGTGAAAAGCAGATGCACTTGGGTCTCCCCAGCCCATCTGAACCCTCACATTGTCTCCTAGCACATCCTTTTATCCCAGACAGCCAATGGTACCTTCCTTTTGACCAGCCTCATGGCTAGAAAGATAGGATGCCACGTTATTTGGCAACTTCTTTCCTGCTCACAGCCTGGGAACTGATGAGGTGCTTTATGACTGGGCAGAGATGTTTCCTTGCAAAAAGTGCAACCATGAAATTGCAGAAAGAGCCAGATATTGGGCAAGGGGGCCGGAGGTAAAAATTTTGGTGTTCTGCCTTGCCTGCACTGCTTCATGGTGCTTGTTAGCAAGGATCAAGCCTGTGGTGGGAGAAAGAACAGTGATTCCTGTTAATATTTCTCTTCTCTGCTCAGGAACTTTGGATGTAGGGAACACTGGGATTCAGCTCACGGGCAGACGATGTGCTCTGAATGATACTGATGAATTACTGCTGCTGACTTAAGCTTTTCTGTATTTTTTCTGACTGTAACTCACTCCAGTGAACTGTCTGGGAGTTACAGTCACTGTGACACAGCAGAATTTGTCCTTTCATGCATATTAAATACTGCAGCAGGGATGGAGGGGACTGACGCTGCCTGTTTCCCATGGCCAGACAGACACCTGCACTCCTTTCCTTAGGAGTTGTCCCCTCCTGAGCAACATATTTTGGGTGAAAGGTTGGAGGGTAGAAATAAACTCAAAAGACGATTGAAAATGGCCCGAAATTGAGGTAGAGTTCTGTGTATTCAGACCTAGGCTAAGATTGTTGACTGTTCCCCAAAGCTCAAGATTTGGGGTTCTGGTTGGGGCCTGTGCCCCAGTCCCTGGTGCTGGGATCCCATTGCTAACTGTGTGATGTGTGCCACACGTAGGAGCACATATCTTGATGACTGCATAATTATAGTGGCCATCTACCTTCAGCTGTTCCTCAGTGCTTTTCTTCAAAGCCTCTTCAAACCGATCTGCTTTGGCCTTCAGAGACTGGTTCTGGAAGGTGAGGGTGTCGATCTGGTCCTGCAGGGGAGGAGAAACGGCCACACCACCAGGTTATCACCCCTCAAACACTCATACAAATCAATCTGCACTGTGAAACCACCAGGGGACCTGAACAAGGCTCAGAAACCACTGCCAGGTGGGATTTTTTTACATAAGGCCTCTTGAACATGCAGCGGGGTTTTCCACAACCCAGTGCCTCAGGGAATCCCGAAATCCTTGCAGTGCCTGCGGCTAGCTGGCTTCATGAAACATCTCTGATGCTAAATCACCCCATCACCTCGGGATAGATAAGAACAACCATGCCCTTTCTTAAGGCAGCTGGCATTTATGCTGCAGGCATGAAAGAGCTCTTTTGTGCAGCCCCTAGAGTCCGGACCAGGCAGTAGAGATACCCTCTCCTGCTTCCTTCACCTTCAAAGGCAAAACTCCAGCCTACTCGAGGGCTTTTAGCACGATAACAAGCGATGAGGAGTTAGTGGTGTGGGCTTTGAGTGACAGCCATTCCGTCCCTAAGCTCTCCGCAGGAACAACGTGCTATTTTAAGCAACCATATTTCTGTTATCACGGAAGGCATTCCTGCTACTTTTTTACAGACCACACCTGTAAATGTCACCGTTGCTGTGAGGCCAGCACTCTCATATATTTTATGTCTGTAATTTCTAAGCTGTAGCATTACATCAGTGCTTATCAGAACTGCTGACATGCCTCAAACTGTGGAAGCTGCATGGAGGCAGTGACAATTGCTGCATGCAACACTATACACTGGTCAGGGTTAAAAAAAAATTAAATTAATCTCTCTTTACAAAATCAAACAGGGCTCGCATTATTTGCTCTGGCATCTTTCACTTGTTCACACAAAATCTCCAAACTTTAGCATGAATGATGGGGACATGCTTCTGCCCTCCCTCTCCCCAGGGACTGCTTCATCCAGGGAGCGAGAGCAGCAGGGAGTTATCAGAGGGGCTGGAAAAGCTGCGGTGATCTTAATTTTGCTGTTAGTGGGGTGTGAGAGATGCGATGTGCGGGGTGCACCCTGACCACAGCCAGCTTTTCCCTGTCATAGAGGGGAAAATTGTGAAAAAAACTCCTGGCTTCAGTGCTGCAAGGATCAGCAAGGTGCAAAGGACGTTTCTTAGCTTTATCCAGCTGCGTTTCCATCCCTTTAGGTTTGCCTAGCTCTGCACCATCGGTTTGGGGTGGGAAATAAGGAAACTGCTAACCTGGAGTGACAGCCGCAGCTTTTCAAAATTCTCTTTTAATTGTGTTTTTTCCAGTTCGTGGGCAGCAACCAGTTCTGCGGAAGACACACAGACATGACATTGCTTAGTGAAGTCCAGCACACCAGGATCTGAGAGCACAGAGTTGGTGAGACAAGAACAATTTAGGAAGCAATTTTAGGGCATGGAGGTTAAGGAGGAAACCAGCAGCAATATAGTACATGGTCTTGGGCAAATTGTTCTGAGGACCAAAATTTCCAGGTCTTCCAGTGATGGCAGGTACCTCTGTTTCTAGGTGACCAAATTCCGATTTTTCAGGACCACTGAGAAGTGCCAGCTCCCAGGAGCTCTGATCTGAAAAGGCTCAGTCTGAAAATGGGCAACTTACCACTTCAGAGTGAGTGTCCCCAAGTCAAGGGATTTGATATTGGATATATTGACAAGTTTGGGATGCCATTTCTTTGGGGCGATAGAGAGGGGAGCCAGCAACTCAGGTGCAAAAATGCGAATGATGGAGCTGTGACAGAGGACCTGTGAGATTTACTCCATTACTGAGCAAACTGACAGACCATGGAAACAAAAAAATCCTCTATTTATATTACATGATTAAAGGCTCCACTGCTAGAATAAGTTAGAATGGGTTTATTTATAACCAGAAGTTTGGAATTCTGAAATTCAGAATTTGGAATTCAGAACCAAAGTGGAATAAAGTTTAATATCTAACACAACTGCATGAAACTGGCATTCAGTCCGGTAGTAGCACCTTCCTTTTAGCATACGGACACCCTATTTTGTGCCTTTTCCCCCAGCCACCGTGGGGATCTGCATTGGTGATGCTGAGCCCGCAGCGTTTGCAGTGCCCCTTCCAGGCACAGGAGGGCACTCGGCACCCACAGCAGCAGCACAGGGCAGGCTTTGGACCCTAACACCTTCATAACCAGGTTTTATCATCAGAAAATACCGACAAAAACATACAGATAAGAATACCTGAATATCCTCAAGCAAGGACTTTTTTTTTTTTTTTTTTTTTTTTTGTAATTTTCGAAATGATATATTTTAATTTTATATTTGGTATTACCGACACCTTCTCTGCCTACAGGAGAGGGGAACAGGCTCTTCTCAGCTACTATTGCAATATTGCTCTCTGGATTGTGTATCTAAATGATACAGTGCACAGCTAAGCCATACTGCTCTATCTGGGGAATGTGGTGGGAAAACCTGCTAGAACTATTCAAAATTAGGTCCTTGTGTTTCTTTGAAAAAAAAAATAAGAAGAAGAAGAATAAAAAAAATGAAGGCAGATTGTACAGATGAGTGATAAATGTCAAGCTAACATGTGCAAAGATGTGTTTAGACACTGAAATTTGGTGCAGCATCAAATCCCACAGAAAAAAACATAGGAAAAAATAAGGACAGCAGTGCTGATGTGCAGACTTGCAGCAGCGTGGCTCTGCTCTGCTCAGCACGGCCGGGCTTTCATTGGTGAAAACAACGATTCCTGTTTTCAGAAGCAGTGTAGACATCTGAGCACTGATATTGAGGGGTGTTAAATGAGCTCCAGCCTCCTGATTAGGCACGCTGGCTCTTGAGAAAAGCCTGTTGGTGAAGTGAGGTGGAATCTGGACTCCGTGCTCAGCAACCCATGCAGGTCTTTGTCCCAGAGACCCCTCAGACACTCTCAGGTGCAAGTCAGATGCTGTATGCACTGCCTTAAACCCTGTGGGCCACCCGGCATGAAAGCACCAGAGCAAGACAAATTGCTTACCTCGAATCTCGCAGTCGTGCTCGTCCTGCAGCACCGTGATGGCCAAGGTGTGGTTGTTTTCCAGCTGCAACACCGCAGCGTCGTGGGCAGCTGTGATATCGGCCACCTGTTGCAACGACAGCGAGCAGAGACACGGGCACACAGTTAGACATGCTGTGGCACACTGACAAGCCACTGCTGGGCAGCTGCAGTGAGCTGGCAACAGAAAAAGGATCCCAGCACACAAACCAGTCTTATTTATTGCAAAAGCAGCATGCTGACCCCTTGAATGGTAGTGTGTAGTCGCAGCTACTTGTGTTATCGCTCTTTCAACTTACCAGTAGTGGATGAGGTGCATAAGAAGGCACAAGGTATAAAACGCCCTTAAGTGAAAAAAGGAAATGTTGAAAAATCTGATCAATCTATTAACCTAAATGATATTCATAACCTGACTCCCTCTGATGGTCAGAGAAACTTGCTTGGTTCTGAGGAATCCTGGTTTTGTCTTTGCGGCTCTCTGCTGCGGTGAATTTTATGGCAAGGTTGTGAATTAACTTCCATGGAAAGTGCCTATGAATTATTTATAGTTGTAAAATATTTATGTCTGGAGAAACATTGAAATTATCGTCAGTGAGTGTATAAAATGAATCGCAATCTATCATCCTTTTACTGCAAAACGAGCATCCCACTAAGCCATCAGGACCTAAATTACAACATCCTCCTGAAGCACGGATTTTGAGTCCATGTCCAATAAACAGATGGAAGATGTGACAGCACCTTTTTCAATCCAGGCACGAGAGTTTTCAGGTTGGTGTGGAAGTAACCTGGATGCCAGTGAAGACAGACAGCTTTTTTCTGATCTCTACTGAGGCCAGAAAGTGGTCCTGCTGCCACAGACTGCCGCACACCATACCTCAAACATCACAGGAGCAGGGGATGCGGTTGCCAGAGGGCTGTGGGCAGCCTGTGCTCCTGTGTCCCGATGGGTTTGGGACTTCTCCATGATGCTGTTTGTTACAGGACTTGGCTAAAGGCAGAGCGAGATCCCTAGTTATGGTGTTATGATTTGTCTCACTAAAGAAAATGCAGTCAGAGGCTGCGATCTAGGTTAAGCCAATGGTTCAACACCCACAAAGGCAAATGAAGTATGAAGTGGCTCATAGAAGTGTGCTTTTATTTTTTCAAGTCCTCTTGTCAAATTGCACATGCTCATATTTTTGAAGGACCAGAGGTGATAACAGACAAATACACATACAAGACCAAGGACTTTAAATTCTGAGTGTGTGAGAAAGACCCCACACTCACAGGGGGTCAGCAGCTGTCCAAGAGGAAACAAAATGGGACTGCCAGCTCTGAAAAGAGGGGAATGACTTCAGGAAGGCCTTGAAGTTCACCTCCAGTTCCTTGGGGTTTCAGGTAACCTCCAGAGCCATTTCTGAGAGCTACCCATTGATGACCGGATTTGCTTTTCCAGGTTTTGTAATCGCAGTGGTTTTATTCCCGATGCTGAAGGCATTATCTGTGATATCTGGCAATGCAGAGAGTCAAGCTGTTCTACTTTTAGAAATAAACAGCTGTTCATTGCAAAGCCACTCCACTTTAGACAGTTTTGTTTTTTTTTTTGTCCACTGTTATAATAATGGTAGACACTCAGCCAAGCGCATCTTGACTGGAATAAATTATTTCCCTGCATTTAACCGTCAAACACATGTGTTGGATTACCCGACAGAAGCACCATTTCCAATCAGATTGGAGAAGGCATTCTCTTAGAACGAAAAACAGGCACTGAACATGAGATTTAAAATGATACAAACTCATTTTCATAATACCATGGGAGACAACTTGGTGGTGGAGTTCACAAAACAAGGTGGGGCTCATCTTGCTGAGCTGTTGCATGGAAGAGCAGGGCAAGGGGTGGTTAGATCACTCAGCGGGATGCTGACGGGATATGAACTCTCACTTGACTTCTCCCCAAGCACAACATCCTCGTTTAGGATGTCTGCATGCCTCATGAGCCTTGCCACGCTCTTCACCTTGCCCTTGCTTAAGTCTTTTTTCGTGCACTAATTGCTCCTCGGCTCAGCAGCACCCCATAGGAACGATTATGCTCAGCTCTGATGCCCTCGGAAGGTGAAGGGGTCTCCTTTCTCTGCCACCATCCTTGGCAGGTTATTTATCTATAAGGCCAATTAAATAGGTTCCAGTTTTCAAATGGACTCCAGGGATTTTTCTGTCTTCTGTGTGTTTTATACTCCCATACCAAATGACTCCTTTAATCTTCCAGCGTGACCCCCCGCCTGCAGTTTTTCATAGCAAACAGTCTGCTTGGCACCTGGAAGCAGATCCCTTGCGTCTCACTCCAGCTCTGCCACTAACTCACTCTGTAGACTTGATCAACTCAACAAAACACTGTGTCATAGCGTCTCCTGGCTATAGAAAGAAGTTTAGCTAGGATTTTTAAGGATTAAACCAAGAGGTGGCTTTGGTGGGAGAAGTTCAATAGTGAGGACAACAAGACAGTTTGAGCTGAGCAGCTCAAGTGAGAAACATTGGCCAGCCAGGAGCACAGATTTATGTTTCCGATTTTGCCCTCAGTTGCAAGGAGGACAGAGAAGTATCAGGATGCATTGGCACACCTGGTCAGTGATCAGTACGGAAGGACTCTTGTCCCTAGAGCAGCCTTGTGTGTTTTTTGCTATGCCCAGAGCCAGGGGCTTCTCCTCTCCAGAGGGTCAGCTCTGTGAGTGGAGCAGGGGATGAAGAACCACGGATTACAAACCCTCTGGGTCTGTAGCTGTTAGGGATCCTTATGTCTCAGGCAACGTGGTTTGTAGGCTAGCAGAATTCTTCTTAACCTCTTCAAGGGCAGCGAGGCCAAGAAGTGCTGCAGGTGAGCAGCTTTCCAACCAGCCCTGTCAACCTTTCCAACCAGACAGAGGTGTACAGCTGAGTATGAATTAGGAGGAAAAAACTATTAAAACTCATCATGAGATGCTGGAGGAACCACGGGTTGAAAAGACAGAGGTACCAGGGTATCCACAACAGTGGTTTCAAAGCAGTGGAGAGAAATGTTTGCAATATCTCCTGTAATTCTGGGAACAAAGAGTTGTGGAGCTAACCAAAGGACTGGAGGAGGGACAACATTTACCCCTCAGAGGGAAAAATGTGATTCCATTGCTTCAGTGTGGTGATTTATAGGACCACAATAGATGGGAAGATTAGAAAAACGAGCATACTGATAGACAGGTCCTGCTGTGACTCGTGTAACCCACACTTACAGTGATCAGCCTGAGGGGGAAAAAAAAATCACCATCCATCCTTGTGGTCCTGGAGCCTGACGGAGCACTTCAAAGAGGAGCAGAGGCAAAAAATTAGCTAGCAGAACAATTTCATTCATAAATGCTAATGCCTCATGAGCCAGGAGGGGCAAGGCTTGCAGCTAGAGCTAGTATCTCTGTAAAGACCATCAGGCACACTGACACAGTGAAGGGACAAAAAAAAAAAAACAAATCTTATGGGAACACCACTCCTCCTTCATACCAGAAACTAAAGCAGAAAATCTGAGGGGTTTGCAAGAAAACCATCCTTCATAAACTGAAACGAGAACCAAGAGACATGGCTCAGCACAGATGCTATACACTTATAAAGAAAGATTTTGAAAACTCTCGTTTAGGGCACAAGGAACTATTTTAAAGCATCTTCTTACACATCTTTAAAAATCAATGCACTAACAGAAAAAGGCAGTTCGTCCAGGAGAGAAGAGCCCAGTTACACAAAGCCTTTGTGTTGCACTCTACAAGCTCTGCAAATCAATAGCAACTAACAGGCACAGCAATTAAAATGGATAAAATCCAGAGAGAGTGCTTCAGTCTCCCCCACAGAGAAACCAACCCAAATCCTTACACAGGAGAAAGAAGAAACAGCCTCAAAAAAAGACATTTGCTGGAATCAGCTGTCAAAGATTACAAGTCCATTGATGGCAGAGCAAACAAAGAAGAACCCAGCCAGCATCTTGGGGTGGGAGCTCTGAGGAGAGGAGGTTTTGCTGACAGCTCCTTTGTGAGGGAAAGCTACAAAGGAGGCTGTAACACAGCTCTGCTGCACAGAGCCCAGCTGCACGCAGAGCTCCTGTCCCCTCTGCCGTCATGGTGGCACCTGGGGCAGCAGGGACACGGGCTGGGATGCTGTGTGTCTGTCTGTGTGTCTGTGTGTCTGTCTGTGTGTCTGTGTGACTGTGCTGTGCCCAGCCCTGCTGTACCATTGGCATTAGGCAGTAAATCTAGCACCAGGCAGCCACGGCACCAGTGACATAAAACTGTCATCATCTCGGTTTCTATTTGTGCTCCCATCCCAGGAGTTTTACAGTACATCAAGTACAGGGAGTAAATGGTGTCATCTCCCTTTTTAACAAATGCTTGAGCTTAAAGGCCCTGGGCTGCAGTCTCTGCTGTGCTCCAGATTGATGCTTTCCCCTCCACTGAGCTCAGTGCAGGGTAGCCCCTTCTTCTGGTTCTTGGAGGAGCTTCAGCTACAGCAGCACAGTGGTGCACCAGCCTCTACCTCTTAAACCCACTAAATTAGCTTGGGCACATGCTCATCTGATGCAGATGGTTTGCTTCCAAGCCCAGAGCAAGGCCTGTCACCATCCTTGGTGGGGGGAACAGCATGGAGCATGCCTGTGCTCTGCGCCTGCTGTCTGCGCTCCTTGGCCATGGACAGGGTGAGAGCACCAGCCATGGAGCCTTGGCTCTAAAATGCACACTGGAGCCACCCTGTGCCCACAGAACGTGTGGACATGAAGCCTTTTCCTAGTAAAAATACAATTAAAGTAGCTGTACGTGGGAGCTTCCTACATATAGGAAGCAAAGCAGGAAGAAATGCTTGGTGTGTACCATTTATGGCATTAGATTTAATATTGGAGTAGAAATCTTGATACCTGGAATGCCTCACCTGCTTGATATTTAGGCTATGTGTTACATGGGTCCCACCACTTCACTATACCACTACCTGTATTTGAAATAACAAGGGGCAGGGCTCTGCTGCCCTTACCTCTGCGTATAGCAGACTCTTGTTCAACCATTGGTTTCATATGAATTGACTAAAATAAGTGGAATGGGGAGCAAGTATGTGTGGGGAACAGGTTGGAACTGACCTGGTGCTGATGCTGGGACTTGACCCGCTCCAGCTGCAGCCTGTGCTGCTCCTGCAGACTCTCCATCGTGGCGCTGTACTCCTCCCGCAGCCGCTGCTCCAGCACCTGCAGCTCCTCCCGCTGCTGCCAGAGAAGCTTCCTCGCCTCCTCCTCGAAGCGCCTCTCCAGCTCCTCCTTCTCGCTCTGTAGTTTCTTCCATCTTGCCTGTGTTGAGGGCTGAGGACACCAGATCATGCAGTCAGTGAGTGGTGGCACCGGCTCTGTGCAGCGCTGAGCACAGTGGTTCACCAGCCATAAACAGGCTCTCACAGATCCGTCTCTGCCTCCCACAGACCCTTCTCTGCCTCCCTCCCTCCAACACACATACACACAAGCATTTATTTAAACAGAGGCACTGGCAGAGTCCTGCAAAATCCCTCGCAAAGCTGGGATCTGGTTACAAATAATAATGATAATCATAAAAAGCAGGGAACTCCATGGACTTCCATCCCTCTGCAGGGATGTGCTCTCCTGGCCAGCACAGTCTTGGATTTGTAAATCAAGTCTCTGGGGCTTCTACTTTGTCTTGGATGCCAGAAATGTCATGTGAGACAATCACTTGACACAAAGCCTTTCATCTGTGGTACAAGATTTTCCTTATCTCATCCTCTCAAGACATGGCCTTGGCCAAGGGATTGGCCAAGCAGAAAATCCCTGGGTTCTTGGAGCATTTTGTGCACATTATCTGGGGAATATCATTGGTCACTTGACTGAAAGATGTATCTCATGCGTCCCATTTTCCATGTGTTAGAAGTTTCTCACTCCATAGGCCGGTCTCTTACACCAGCTCCATCAAGAACCTCTTAAAACCATTAATGCACACTTGTAAACATTTTTATATTCAAACCGCTATCTTGTGTGCTCCATGGAATCAGAGAGCACACAGGAAAGGCAATTAGGAAGTGTGAATTTTTTACTCTTAAGCTAACCCAGTGACCATGTCTCTAAACTCACAAGAGCGTCTATAACTTGTTTCAGGAGGTGCAACTCCAACAGTTCCATCATGCCAGGCATGTTCAGTCTGTTTCCCCATTTTTTCCCTCCCCTATATCGTTCTCTGAGTCCCAGGATAGCAGTCCTACAGAGTGCTCCTCAGCTTCTTACTTTGCCACTGAATGGTTGTAACCAATTCAGATACAGAAGGCTTGATACAAGTTGGGCAAGGTCAGATGGACTGCATTTAGAGAGCAAATCTGCTCATTTGCAAAGATCCAACAGGTAAGAAGTGAATAAAATAATCATAACATTCAGAACAACACTAGGGATAAAGACATGTTTTAAATAGCACTGCTAGACCTTTTTTTCTGGTTTAGACCCATAGCTGGTTTACAAAAATGTTAAGCTTTGAAATATGCTATCACCCCCTTTCTATGACATCAGACTAAGCTTTACTCTGCAATGGCGCAGCCTCACCTCGAGTACTTTGTGTAGTTTTAGGCACCGCAGTATAAAAATGGCATAAAACTATTACAGAATGTCCAAAGGAGGGCTACAATGGTGATGAAGGGTCCAGAGGGGAAGACGTATGAGGAGCAGCTGAGGTCCCTTGGTTCGTCCAGCCCCGAGCAGAGCAGGCTGAGGGGAGGCCTCATGGCGGCCTGCAGCTCCCTCATGAGGGGAGCAGAGGGGCAGGCGCTGAGCTCTGCTCTCTGGGGACAGCGACAGGACCCAAGGGAATGGCATGGAGCTGGGACAGGGGAGGGTCAGGCTGGGGGTTAGGGAAAGGGTCTGCACCCAGAGGGTGCTCGGGCACTGGGACAGGCTCCCCAGGGAAATGGTCAGAGCCTTGAGCCTGCTGGAGTTCAAGAAGTATTTGGACAGCACTCTCAGACACATGGTTTGGTTTTCGGGTGGTCCTGTGTGGAGCCAGGAGTTGGACTCAATGGTCTTCTTAGGTCCATTCCAACTCAGGATATTCTATGATTAAGCTCACTTTTACAGGATAACAACCATTTGTCTAAGTTGCCTACTGCTGCAACCACATCTCATATTAGCTGTATCCATGCAAGCTACTTTGGGCACCCAAGCTAACCATCCCCTTTCCCACACAGCTATTTCTCATCTTGTTTTCAGCTCTGCTTCCCCACTTAGTGGCCGGCAACACTCAAACTTCTTCAGTATGTCTAGACAGATATCACTGCTGTGGTCCTGTTCTGACCCTGACATTTTCCGGAGCAATAAAATGGAAGCTGTGCCCCTGTCAGGCTCCCCCTACTCCTTATAGAAAGGGAGAGAAGTGAGGCTGAACCAGTGAGCTTAGCACAGCAGCAATGGTATGTAGAAATCTTTCCCACCTGCCTCATACCTGAACTGGAACAGCTGTAATGTATGTAGTTATTAGCTGAAATGGCCTGTCCCTTGGCCATTTGGATTTTAGCTGTACACCGTCTCTCTTTCTTTTGCGTTAGCAGTTTTCCTTGGTGTGCAAAGCTACCACGGAGCTGGAGGACAAAGGGTAAAGCTTGCAGTTCTGGATTCAGAATAATTGAAACTTACTCAGGCTTTAAATTGGAGCTGTAATGAAACCTGTCTCTCTGCAGCCTCTCTAATGAGATTACCCAGTGCACAGGGAGGGCAGGCAATGAAGTGGCATGTTCCAACCAAAAGAAAGTCAATCTGAAACGCTTTCCAGAACCTGAAACGCTTTGCGTAACCTGAAACACGCCTTGCAAATCAAACCCTGATGTAGATGCAAAACAGAAGAGCAAAGTGGGAAAAGTGTGTCGGTGTGTCATTTACCCCAAAATGCTAATGGAGACAGGTAATGAGGCAATGTCCCAGGAAATTTGCCCTATGCTGAGTATAAAACACCTTTAACCATAAGGAATGTTCCCTACCACTGTCTCCCAGATCTAGACCTTGTGCATGAGGTGGAAAGACTGAACCTTCTTAGACAGGAGATGGTCCCCTGGGTCTGGGTCTGCTGGGACAGGAGGAGCAGAGGGTGACATTCATGCAGACAAACACAAGGTCTGTGCCTCTCTTATCTGTCTTGGGAGCAGATAATGGCATGGGAGAGCCTGCCATGCTGGAGCCAGCTTTTAATCAGACTGAATCAAACTGAGGCCTGAACAGAAGTTCTTCTAATTTTGCTGGAAAATGGTGAATTTTGCTTTCAGACAGCTGGATACGGATACTGTAAAACTGAGTTCCTTTCGTGGAAGAAAAAAATCAGTAAGAAAAGTTGTATCTATTCAATACCAGCATGGAAGAAAAGGCACAGGACAAGCAGGATGCAACTGCTACCAGCTGCTGTTGAGAAGAGTTAACAGCCTGGTTTTCTTTTTCCTTCTCTGTAGGTATTTCAATTGCTGCTTACACGCTGGAAATGACTCTAACAGAAAATGGCATTTCCCAGGATTGCAGCCATGCTGGGTTACACGAGAGCAGCTGCCATTGCCTCCCTGCTCCCCGAGCTGGTCGTTTCCCTGCCTCATTACACTGCACAACAGATGAGCAAAACCCATTTCAGGCCAGGCTGGGAAGGTGAGGGAAAGGGAGATGTCACTAATGGACTGATCCTCCTGCACAAAGCCAGCCTGAGCTGCAGCCCAGCCTCTTTGCCTTCCGCAGGGTAAGCCCCATGGGAACTGGGGGGCTGATGTCATGCGTACCGGGACCGGCTACTTCTGACATGAGAAATGGGCTCTTCATCCAAAAGTGATAGCAAACCATGCAGGCTGTATTCTTACTTCTGACCCTTAGCCACAGGGTCACGACAAATCACAGAGCCCTCGCTCAGGCTGTCTCCTCTGATCAGGAGGCACATCCAGAGGGAGCTGGTGCACGGGCTTTCAAACTCTTGCAGATTCAGAGAGTAGAGGTTTTAAACTCAGCGTCTGATCGTCTTCCATTCATCCAGGCATTTATGCATCTCCAGACCGCTCTCCACTCACTTCACATGTCATTTGTCTGACAGCAAAGGAACACGTAATTCTGGCATTTAATTTCCATTAGTTTGAGGGGAAACAGAAGGTGTTCAAAACCTCTTTATTCCAGGAGTCTCAGTGCTGCAGCTGAAAAGTACTTATATTTATAATTTATAAAGATGGGTATCTAGAGTATAGAACAATTGCTTGTAGTGTTTTTCTAGCCTTGTTATTTCTAGCAAAATACGTGAGGAAATCTTATTGCATAAAATAACAAGTCCCTCAGTGTTTATATAGCCGTAGACGCACACATTCCTCCCCGGGCTGAGAAGGGAGGAGCACTTTCTTATTTCATTGTGTGCTGGTTTCAGATGAGGTCTGTTACTTTACAGCTGTGCTAGAGGTAAAGGTGGATGGTGTTATCTGAACCTAAATATCTTGCCTGGGTCCAGAAGGGTACAGGGCTCTATAGGCTGTGTTTTACGCATGTGGATGTCTGAGATTCCTTGGGGTGTCTCAAACAGCACTTGTCTCCCATATGTGACCTCAGCGTCTGACGCCTAAAATGGGCTTTGACACTTAGCTCATATGCAAATATTTGAAATTAGGTGAATAATTGTGATTAGAGAGACACTCCTGGACATTAACCTGCCAGAGATGGATCACCCTCAACTCTTCTCTCTTCATTGACTTTATGGGAAACCATGAGAACTAACCTACAGCAGACATCCAACTTTGCCCTATCTGAAGCCAGGTGAGATGGATCCTCATACACAAGATCCACCACTGTTATTATTTAAGCAGTGATTTTATCTACCAAACAAAATTTCTTTAAAAATGCACTCTGACTCCTCTGAACATGATTATATCTCATGGTTTCATTGCTTTGTGCACCAGAATCCTGCAATCAGTTTCTGTTGAAGCCATGAGACACTATGTGCTTTCAAGACAAGGCACATTCAGCCCTTAAATAATATTTCTTAATTAGAGCTATTGTCTAAACAACTAAACATTGGACAAACCACCTGTACCAACCCTGACTAGTCAAGCCTAATTTTACTGATTCATCCAGACATTTGCATCTGTGAATTTTACATGGTGAACGTACACATGAGAAATCTGGAATTTCTGACCAACGCCCATGCTGTTCATCTGGGCTGATTAACTTTAAGTGAACGAGAGACTGCTTATCAAAGTGACTGAGACAAGTCAGAACCACAACTTCATTGCAGTGAAAATAACCAATTAAAACTACCCAAAAAAGACCTGAGAACTTTTCAACAAGTATTCTGAAAAACAGAAGAAAAGGTAAAACTATGATACCACAATGCTGCCTCAAACCTCCCCTGGACTGAATCTGTGCAAGGATTCTGCTTGCTTAAAACATGTACTCCCCCATTGCATGGTACAAAGACAGGCTGAGGGTGTTGGGGTTGTTCAGCCTGGAGAAAAGAAGGCTCTGGGGAGACCTTACAGTGGCCTTCCAGTACCTAAAACGGGCTGCAGGAAAGCTGGGGAGGGACTCTTCATCAGTGGAGTGGTGGGACAAAGAGGAATGGTTTTAAACTAAAAGGGGGTAAGTTTAGGTTAGATATTAGGAGGAAATTCTTTACTCTGAGGGTGGTGAGGCCCTGGCACAGGCTGCCCAGAGAAGCTGTGGATGCCCCATCCCTGGAGGTGCTCAAGGCCAGGCTGGATGGGGCTTTGGGCAACCTGGTGTGGTGGGAGGTGTCCCTGCCCATGGCAGGGGGTTGGAGCTGGGTGGGCTTTAAGGTCCCTTCCAGCCCAACCTATCCTCTGATTTTATGAATTCCATGATTTCTTCTATCTGTACATCTTGTGTCTCACGGTTGTACAGAGATGAGTACCTCTGATGGCTTACCAGCCATCCCGCTCACCTCTGCTCAACATCTCACTGTCTCCTTGAGTGGTGGTTTGTTCAGGAGGAGGTGGACACAGACGGCTCCTCTCCAGCACACATCCCCACAGGACCAGTGAGGAAGCCCATACATATCTCCACAGCATAAGCTGTTGAGCATCAGAAAAGGGCTGTGCCCAGCTCTTCTGCGGTGGCTTGTCATGGGCAAAGTGAAGGCAAAGCATAGTCCTACCTGCCAGGAAGGATCTACAGCCATGTCCCCCCTGCACGGGGATGGCCTGAATCGCTCTGTGCAACTCAAGCCAGCCTCCTGCCACACGACACAATCCCTACTCAGTGCCTCACCCAGCACCTGGGTCTCACAGGCAGGGAAACCTGAGAGGTCCTGCTCAGAGATCCAGTGGTGGTTGCACCTTGTACTTGAGGTGTCCCCTGCCCTGACCATCCTCCCTCCAGGTGTCCTGCCTCCTCTCCATTTGCTGTGGGGTAGATGAACCTTACATCTTACCTGTTCTTGGGAGATTTCAGCCAAAAACAACTCATTTTTTTTGGCTGAACCCAGCACAATAGCTCACCTCCTCTTCCAAGAGTTGTGCTGTCTTTACCCTATCTCTGTCTCTCCTGCCTTGATCAGAAACCAAACAGAAATGTGGCACATGTAGAGACACAGGGAATGCACACACTGAATGTGACACATTGCATTTGCTGTCTTTCAACACACCAGAGGCTTCAGAGATTTTAATACTCAAGTTTTGAGCTTGCTGTCCTTTGGTTTGTAACTGGACTACGAAACACACGGACACAAGTAAGCGATGCATCCCCAGTCACCATGCGCAGCGGTCCCAAGCTCCCCCTTCTCATCACGCTGTGTTTTCTCACTTTTATTGTTACTTATGCTTTTATTGTTACTTGGCTTGTGCTACTTACCAACTTCATCCCTGATCTTTGCAATCTCCACTCCTAAATTGTTTATTTTCACAAGGGCATTTTCTTTCTGTTTAAGGAAGAAAAGAGAGAAAAATATATGTAGTCCCCAGGTATATCCCAGGCAAGCACTTTCACATGTTCATTCAGCAAAGCAGATTAGATCGATTCCTCACATTTCTTCTGAGGTGGCGGGGTGGGTAGGGAGGATTATAATAAACTCATCCATTCTTTAAATCAAGCTTAGGAGCCGCCACTCATTAGCCTCAAATACCTTTGTTCTGTACAAATACATGAGCTCATGTGCACACGACAGCACAGAATACACTAATTACTGCTACGTGTCTAAAAAGACATTTGCATTCATTCAGTCTGTGAACCATTCGTGGTTGGACTGCGTGTACAAGATGGTATTAGTAGCTCTGTTAGATCTTCCATCTACTTGTGCCTGCATTTACCATAGTAATAAAAAAGACATAGCAATATGCTCATGCAGTTGAATTTGCAGAGCAGATTATGGTGCTTACACCATTCAAGACATGGTGGGCATGCCCTACACATATGGACACCACTACTGGCCTGATGCTCATGCCTATTTCCACATTTACTTCTGGGATTTTATTGTCTAGAAAGGACAGGAGTTCCTTTCCTTGACCCGTCTCAAAAGAGATTGAATACTTAACAAATTAAAACATGAGCTGGACAAAGGAATGATAAAACATAATTACATTAACAATACTAAGGTTTTATTACCAACATGCAAGGACTTTGGCAGTAGATATCTCATGAGTTCTGTGCAAACTGGCAAAGAAAAGCCTCAGGAAAATCTATAGGAGTTTGGTTTAATGCAGTAAATCCCAGTTTACTAATCCAAGAGTAAAGGAACTTGAAGTCAGAAAGTATCCTGACTCCTGTTAGGAAGAAGACAAAGGAAACCATCCTGCTGGCCATGTCCCTGGCAATTAGGAAAACTAGATCAGGCTGCTATAAACATGTCCCAGGTTAGAAAAGACTGAGAATCTTTAAAGGGCACCACAGAAAAATCATGCTCAAGAGACAAGGCAGTGTAGTAGCAAATGGAATTAAATCGACTCCTAGGAAGTAAATCTTTCAGTAATAAGCAAACAAGACCAATAATAATCTAATGAAAGTGAGAAAAAAAGTTTTAAGAGCCTAATGTTTCTCTTTATTTTTCCTGCATTTAACTTTAATGCTGTTAAAAGAAACACAGAACTGCTTTGGTTTTGGTAATACCAGGAAATTGTAATCCAGAATTCAAGGTAATCCCTTACACAGTGTCCTTTTTGGGATGATTTCTGCCAGTTCCAAGGACCTCAACTCTCCAGAAAATTTTGCTGTAAACCAAACAATCAGCAGAGCTGACCAGGGAGTCCTGAGTGCCCGAGGAGCACCTGGCTACGTGGATGTCTTTCTTACTCAGGTATGAGAAGAAGCCAGACGAGCAGCGCTGGGCTTCTCCAAGCAGCTCCATACACTGCTGACTAATGCACAGGGCATCGTGTGCCAGGACTGCAGATTCTCCAGACTGCATTAGGCTCAGAATAAAATGCAGTGGTTTTTATTATTTATTTATTTATTCCTGTAGTTAAAAAAAAAAGCCACAAAGAAATAAAAAGATCCAGCTAAAAATAGCCTGGTATGTTAAAAATCATAGCCCCTCGCACAGACTCCTAAAACAGCAGTCTTGCAGAGATAATGTTTCCCCTTTTGGAGAATATCACTGCATCTGCCCATGCGGTCTGGTTAGCTCACTGAAGTCATTTTAGGAAGTGTTCTTGACAGACTGCCAGGACGGGTGCCCTTGAAGGCATGTGCACGGGGATGTACTGCATACAGGACTCGCAGATGGGAAGCATCCACTCAGGTTACCAGCTCCCAGAATTTAAAACAATTTAGGGCAAGGGAGCCCTGAATAAATCATTGCCAGCACCTACAGATGAGCAGACCTCAATGGGATTGCTATTATTGTATTTACATGGAGAAAACAAAAAGTAAGCTAAAAACAAAACAACAACAACAACAACAACAAAACACATCTTAGTTAAAAAAAAGTTGTTTAAATTTTGCTCCCACATAAGAAATGCTACAGACTCTTTTTTTTTTTATATATTATATTAGATAAGGTTTGTCCTTCCCTTGAGGATGCTCTCCAGAGAGTGGAGAGTCACCATGGTGCCAGCTTTAAGATGCTGTCCCATAACTCATCCTCAAGCATGGGCAGCACCCAACTGGGACAGACACTAGGGCTATGTCGAGAGGCAAGGTGTAGTTTTGGCTAATCTTTGTATCAGCCTCGTGGTTTCCTGCATGTACACTTACAAATCCTTGACATTTTCTGGTACTGTAACCTGCTTTGTCACTGCAAAGTGATCGGTTTGTACCGCACATGTTCCTGGGACCAGTGTCAATGCAACATTAATAGGAAATGAAAAAGCCTCTCCTTGTTATCATCAGTGGGACTCTGCACAGTGCCCCAGTACAGCCAGGGAACTGGGAATGCCAGTGCTTAGGAAACCAAATGTTACAGTAGAGCAAAACTGGATCTGATGTGAAAAGGAAAAGCTATCAGGTCCAATGCAGAGATTCACAGGGGTCCGCTGTCAAAACATCAAATCAATTAGGAAATTCATGAGCACGCAAGGTAAAGTCTGACAAAAGAAATGTGCGAGAAACAAAATTAACGGGCTATCCCATTCAATTAATCAATCTTCGCTAATATCTCTCCCAAGAGAGTATTTGAAAGAGAAGACAGAGCAGGCAGGATCCTTTCTGCCCTTCCATGAGCTTTGTGCCTAACAGGCTCGGCATCTTTACAGAGCTCCAAAGTAGGAGCCGAGCCTCTCAGAGTGACTGAGGGCCAAATCCAACTTAGGTTTAAAAAGTCTCAGCTACCACTCTACTGACACAGCTGTTTCCAATGGCTGAAAAGGCCACAGACACTCTCAGAAATTTGTGCAAATATTAATTTTTTCACTGCAGCAGTTAAATGGCAGGCAAGAAAATATTGACGTGATCTGACTCAGGATTTTTTTCCCTAAAAATGTGAAAGCAAGACTGATTTTTGCACAAAGCAAAATGCTGATGTTATTTTTGGGGTACTTTTAATGAGTGATGGATTTAATTATTGCTTGGAAGACCTATGAGAAAGGTCTTCCATTGGCTGCATCCCAAGAAATGACTCTGACACTGAAATACTTTTCATAAAATAAAATCACGCTCATGATGGAGATGAAGAAAAACTTATTCCTCATATTTCACTCTGTAACACAACGGTTAAGTCTTGTGTCTGGAATATGTCCCAGCTCCTCAGCCAGCAAGAAAAATAGAACAGAACAGGTAGAATGGTGTGTTTGCTCTGTGCTAAAACTAATGCTTGGTTGAATAAAAGCCTCACTAACAACTCTTTTTCCTATCATAAGCTTTAAAGCATACAGACCTCCCAATATTTCTCTTGTGAAAAACTAAGCAGTGGACTACATTTCAGCTAATAAAACAGGCACTGAAGGTGGTTCTTGTGTATTCTTGATTCAATTCAAAACTCCCTGGGGACAGACTGAGCTAGGACTTCCATTGGTGCAGCATCCAAGCTGCTCCAGGAAAACTGGCAGGTAGGCAGGGAGGAGGAATTTGTCCCATTAGGTGACAGTGGCCATAACTTAGCAGTGTAATTCAGAAGAAAACATGCAGGATTTAGGGATAGCTGAGGGAACTGGGAAAATCATTTTGTAAAGGATGCCTGAGGATGTGCAAGGTGCTGGTGCTGTCTGAATAGAGTTAAAAGGAAAGTAGTGAGGAACCCTTCAGTTGCATGGAGCCCCAAATGACAGCTAGACAGGAGGACATCAGGAGATGCTAAGGAGACATCAGCAAGGTTGAGGTTTTGCTTTGGACCAGGGATAACTGTGGGATAGGGAAGCAGAGCTAGGTTTGCCTTTGAGTTTCCCCTGAAAACTGCCCGAGAGATACTAATTCATTAGAAATGCTAATTAATTAAACCTCCACATAGTTTTTAACAATAGGTAAGCAACAGTAGGTCTGTTTCACAAATGGCACAGATTAGGCTGGGAGGATCAGACGATTGCCCCGACCCAGGTAGGAAGTTGACCTGCTGCTAGGAAGTTTGCACAGTAGCTTGGGGTGACATCTCCAAATCAACACACTTCTCCTCCCTGCTAATTAACACACTTGCAGTGTGCTTTATTGTAGGTCCAAATATATGCACAGTATGTCCACAAACATTTCCTACTTCCCTACAGTGCCACCTAGAAAATGAACTGCATGCAGATGCTCTCTGGCACTCGTTATTAAAACTGCTCCTTCAGAATGACTTTTGTGTATCCAGCACTTTCAAAATATTAAAAAAAAAAAAAAAAAGACTGACCGTAGGTGTTGCTTAGTCACTGCTGTGCTTTATTTAGAGTTCCCCGGGGACAGGCCGTATATTATCAATGGGAAGAAAAGCATATACATTGGGAATTCTCTTGTATCAATAAATATCTCAGATGATACTTGTAGAAGAAATAACTGGCTCCCACTGAGGCTGATGTTCACTCTGATCTGCTGCCTTCCTTCCAAAAAGGGTGCTGTTTCAATCACGCCGGGTATCAGGTAATCCTCCCTCACAATTTACTTCGTTAAACCTTACAGGCAGAGCTGACCACCTCCATATCCCCCAGTGACTGTACTCTAACAAGTTTTATATTAAGCCATACCTTTTCCCTAACCTGGTTAACAGCATACCCCAAGCTAAACACGTTATTAGGTAAGCAGGAGACAATGTCAGCCTTTAATTAGACTGCGTATGTGAATACTTTCAAAAGCCAAACTCTAAGGAAAGATACTGCACCGGGATGTGTTTCTGCCAAAATATTTTCTATTAAGCAAATTAAATGCATATGCTCATTCTCTCCGTCTTCTGTAGGCACTTAAAAGCCAGGCAAATGCCCAGAAAAATCGCCTGAAAGCTGTGTGCTGGCGTTGTGCTCCCGCACAGGCTGCTCTCCTGCTACCTGTAGCTATGCCCTTACCTCCGTGCTGGCGTTTGCTACC